TCCTAAATATTATAGAGTACCCATACCAATCAACTTGTGTTTAAAGTTTTGTAACTGTTTGTTGATCAATTTGGCAGGTTTTAAAGTATATTGACCATATGTAAATCAATATACGTATGTTGTGTTGTTGTGTTTAAATGGGTATATGGTATAGGATACTGGGAGATTAGACCCGGAGGTTCCAATTGGTAATTGGTTTATCCATCAATTACATTTCATCTAATCAATTCCTTTTTAAATATACTTTGAATCGCATTTCATAGATCACAAGTTATAATAGTTCATGTCTAGAACTATTAGATTGAAAAAGGTACATAAAATAAATTAAATCAAGCAATCACTAGTATAATATTAACTAAGGTATAAATTATAATCTATAATTAAACTATTGCAAAATTCATCAAAGAAGATATTTTAACACATTTCACATATTCAACACATTATACAAATTTCACATTTTAAAAGACCTCAAATTAAAAAGAATTATAAACCTACTTATACTTACAGATTTACTCCAAAAGTAATTGAATTATTTGCTGGTTAATTGAAGTTTATTTTCAAGAAAGTGGAATAGATCAAGATTTTAAAACTTTATCATACTTTAAATATTGTTTGAAGTATAAAAGATCTTGAAAATCTTCATAAACACAAAGACCAAAAGTCAAAGATCAAAGGACAACAACTATTGCTGATTATCACAAACAGATCAACTATTGATAACTCATTTCAAGTGCTATTCACTCTCACATTATTTTTGCTACAAATCAACTGGTTTTTAATTAGCCGCCATATTATAAAATCAAATGAAGATGCTGAAGGAACAATTAAGAAGACTTAGTTCAAGCTCAAGTTCAACAAGCAAAAAATCACAAAGATCAAAGACTAGTCAAGATTCAAGTTCAATTCCAAGAAGTCTAAGTCTTTCAACTGGTAATGACAATGGAAATGAAGCTATTAAAAGACCTTTATTAACAGCGGCTAATTCTGGTGCTCAATATACTTATGAATCTCATCAACGTTCTGTTAGTAGTTCTAGTATTGAAGCATATGGTTCAAATCAACAAATTCCAACAAGTTACTTAAATGAATTACGTTTAAATTTACCACTAGTTGATTCTGAAATTTATGGATTAACTACACCTCAATTGAATAAAATTCTTGATGATTGGTTTACAAACCCTTTACCAAATGTTTCAACATTATTTCCTTATCTTCATGGTGCTATAAGTCAAGTTCAATGTGAATTTTTGGAAATGAATCCAGAATCCATCAGTTTCATTCCAAAAGTTCGTTATTTATTAATTATAAAATCAAATGATGTTGATAATTGTTGTTTAATTAAATCAACAGTTATGATGAATGATTTAACTATAGAACCTTTAGTAACCAAGGATAAATCAATTAATTTAAGAAATTATTCATGTCAAGTCTCACTATTATCTAAAATTTCTGATTTTATTATATATTCTGAAGATAATGATATGGATTCAAATTTAACATTGGCTAAAAAATTACGTGATTTCCAAAAAACTATTGGTAAATCAAATGATTATAATACTTATATATTGGATTATAATCCAAAATCTCTTGTTGCTAAATATAAAATTAATCAAGATTTATCAAAATTAAATTCTAATATGGCTTTACAATATACAATGAATAATTGGAATATGAATTATCTTTTCCATGAACGTGTTGAATTATGGTTAATGACTTCAAAACAACAAATTTCAAAACATTTATGGTTAGGAAATATAAATGATTTACATCCTGAAAATACTCATCAAGATGAATTTCAATTAATTATAAATTGTCATAAACATGTTAATGGTTTTACAGATTTAGATTTTGATTCTTTAGATGAATTATATGATCAATGTACTGGTCCACAAACTAGAGATGTTATTAATGGGAATTTTAGTTTTAATGAAAAACATTATATTGATTTCCCAAGTTCTGGATCTTTCAATTTGAAGAATTTTGGTGAATTCGAATGTGAAATTATATTAAAATATTTAAAATTTATAAATTATTCAATGATTAAAATGGGTAAAAATTGTTTAATTCATTGTTTTGATGGTTATAGTTCAATGAGTTTTTTAATTATTGCATTGGAAATTTATCAAACTGGTGAAAGTTTAAGTTCAATTTTATTAAAATTTTTTAATGATTATAAAAGACCAATTTATTTATTTAAGAATGATATTGAAATTTTCCAAAAAGTCTTGGAACCTTTCTTAAGAAAAAATTCACCAAAGAATCAATCATCAAGTTCATCATCATCAAGTTCATCATCTGATTCAAATTCAATAACTTCATCAATAGAGTCAATGAAATTAACTGATGAAACTGAAGTATCACCATCATCAATAACTTTATCATCTTTAGAAGATGAAGAATTAAATACATGGTTATCAAATTCAATTGATAAAAATTTACCATCAAGAATTTTTCCTCATTTATTATTAGGTACTTTTGAACATGCATCATGTCCAACATTATTATCAAAATTAGGTATTAGTCAAATTATTTCATTTGGTGCTATTCCATCATGGATTAATGATTTAGATATGGAAACTTTACATATGGAAAAATTTTATGCAAATATAGATGAATTAGGTGAAGAGATTAAAGATGAATCTTGTGTTATTTATATTTATAATTATCCTTCATCAACTGTAAAAAAATTAATTCATATACCATTTTTAGAAGATGATGGGAAATGTTCAATAACAAATTATTTTCAAAAAATTTATCAATTAATCAAACAAGGTTATATATTACCTTTAAACAATGAATTAAATTTAATTCATTGTAGAGTTGGAGTTTCAAGATCTGCAAGTTTTTGTATCTTGGAAACTATGAAGTTATTAAATGTTTCATTACCAAGAGCTTATCTTTATGTTCGTGTTAGAAGATTAAATATTATAATTCAACCAAATTTGAAAATATTTTATGAATTATTAAAAATTGAACAAAATTTGAATAAAGAAAGAGAAATTGATTGGCATGTTTTATGCAGAGAGATTGATTATTTAAATAGAAGATCTTTTTAGAAAGAAAATTAAATTGTTTTGGGGGTTTGGTTTGCTGGCTTAGGTTAGTGCAGCTTTTTTTGGTTTTTATATTGGTTTGTTGATTTAATTTGTTTCAATTCTCGATCTTGATTGATCATTCTTTTAATTATGATTTTAGAAAACCCAAAAAATAGAAAAAAACATATTATTTATATTAGAAAAAAACAGCACAAATAGATTATTGACATAGGAGTATTTCATTTATATATAAATTTTTGGAAGTTGCATTATTATTTATATACAACATATAATTGTCATAGAATATTGCATTATATTGGATTATATTTAATATCATTGTAGTTAGAAATCTATTTTCTTTTATATAAAGTAAATTCATATTCAAAATCACCTTCAATGATTTTATCACTTGGAATTTCAATATTTTCACCAATAAATTTTTGTAATTCAATTTTATTAGTCTTGGTAAAATTATTTAATATATAATCTTTATTTAAGAAAGTATCCATTTCAATTTCATTTGATTTTAAATGATTAATCTCTGTTATTAATAAATTATCAACAAGATTATTTGTTATTGAATTATTATAAATTTCAGATCCTCCAATAATGAAAATTTGATTTATTGAATCATCATTTAATAAATTTTTAATTGTATCATCAATATTATTTGAATATTTAACATTTTCTATAGGTTCAAAACTTGTAGGATCTTGCTTTGTCAATATGACATTATAACGATCTGGTAATGGTCTGAATTTAGATGGAATTGAATCCCAAGTTTTTCTACCCATTATAACTGCATTTTTAGAATTTGTTGATGATGATGATGATTTATTTGTTGTTACATTTTTGAAATATTTCATTTCATTTCTAAGTTTCCATGGTAATTGATTTTTGTATCCAATACCAAACGATGGTAAGAGAGCAGCGACTATTATGGAAACTTGTTTAGATGACATCTTTTGATAAACAATGGAATAATGATTAAAATGTGAGTATAAAAGATGGAAAGTTTGATTATATGTCGCGAAAAAAGCTCAAATTTATACGCGTTTGTTTATATTTACGCGATTTCTCATCAAGTAATAAAGAAGCTCATCAGAGTCAAATATTGGATAGGATCAGGATCACCTTTAGCAGTTGACAGTCAGATAGTCATCTGTATAATATGTCACAGGAACCAACAACAAAGAAACAGAAAACTAAACCCTCATCAGAAAATGATCAACAACCATCTGCTTTAACAATCAAAAAGGCTAATGAAGTATTTGAATTCATGAGATCTAAAAGATTATCAATTGCTGATTTTGTTTCTGCAATACCCTATGTCTCTGGTAATGGAAGAAGACAAGAGGTTATTACCCAGGAATTATTTGCAAATGAAGCTGTATTGGAGGATTTATTATTGAAAAAGAATTATGATGTTGATTTAAAACCTTTAACAAATGTAATTGGGAAGAAATTATTACAAGAATTAAAGAACTTACAACAGAATTCATCAATTTTTGGGAAATATAAAACATGTCAAAGTAAGACTAAAGATGATTTAATATCTAGTTCTTCAACTTTACTTGATTTAAATTTTAATTCTATAGAGGGTATTGATAAAGAAGCACCAATATTAACAGATTTATTTAAACAATTATTATCAAATTCTTTAGAAAATAATACCCCATCTACAAATATATCGAATGATAATGATGATAACAATTCAAACGTTGAAAAAACTAGTCTACATAATAGATTAATACTTATACTTTCAGTTTTATGTTATTCTAGAAATAAAAAGAAGAGTACAAATTTACCAATACTTTTTGGATTATATTTAAATTCATTAGGTCTTACAACTAAAAGAGGTTTACAAATTTTCAATAAATTTGGTATAACAGTTAATCAAAAAACTATTAATGATGTTTTAAATGATTTAAGTCGATTAACTGAACATGAAGAAAGAAATATACAAGTACAGCAGCAGCAGCAACAGCAACAGCCAGAAAATAACAATAATGATAATATATATCATCAACTTCAGAGGAAACAAGACAACTTACATATATCTGCAAGGGAAGAATCTAGAAACAAAGAAAATTCAGATGCACTAGTTTTACCATTTACACAAAATATTATTAGTTCAACTAATGAATCATATAAAACAACATCTGAAAATACATCTGCATTGAAAATTTCAGATCATGTTAAATTTAATCAATTTTTCGATCAATATACACAAAATACATAACTAAATTATCTTGATTGAGTTACTTTTATGAAATTTTTCAGTTCTTTACTGTCATTTTGTAGTGCGCTTATATAAGGTACAAAATACAAAATTGCCATTCTTGCCTAAAGTTGAATCCGAATCGAGACTCATACAAAGAAATAAAATGTCAATTTGGAATTCCATTTATATAAACTCAGTACATTGAACATATTTTAGCATTAATTAAGCTAGTGAGAATCTTGCGATATATTAAATAATCGCAAAACAGATAAAGAAGAAAGAAAAAATGAGCTCTACAACTACTGTTTCCACAGAGTTAAGTCCAAGTTTTGGTGATCCATTTCAAGCGTCCATCACAATACCCACAAAGAGACCATCCACTACTGAGAAGAACAAGATACCCATCACGGTGTTCATAAGTAAAACAGGACCAGATACTCCATTTGGATGTTATATTTATTCTATTATCCATGTATGTTTTTGAAATTTATTGATCTGATTATTGGTATTTTTACTAACTTTGTTTTAAAGCCAAAAACTTCAGAAGTTTTCCAAACTATATTAAACAATTCCAATGAAGGATTACTAGATATTACAAAGAAACTATCGAATGTTCTTTGTAAGAAATTCCAATCACCAACTTATGTGAATGTTAATGGATATTTTGATCTTTATGATTATTTAGGTGTGATCAAGGCCATAACAGAGTTTATTGAAGAGAAATACACCGAATTGGAATCAGAAAAAGCATGAATAAAGCATGGCATAATAATCACTAGAATTAAAAGCAATTAAATGAAACTGAATCAATAAAATATCAAATTCTAATTTGAATTATTTGAAATATTTGTTAATTTGTAGTTATGATTTATACCCAATCGCCAAATCGGGTAATGGTTATATGGCGCGGTGCTCATCAGAAATAAAAATAAAAATTTTATACAGATGAGATGAGCTTAACTACTATTATGTGGGAAATTGATCTAACTTTAACTTTTATAAATAAGAACAATATTCATAATGGAAGTTAATAGACCATCAACAAAGAAACAAACTTCTCGTAAAGGTAAAAAAGCCTGGAGAAAAAACATCGATATCGATGATGTTGAAATCAGTCTTGAAGAGAAAAGGGAACAAATTCGTACATTAGGTGAAGAAGTTGATAAAATTGATTCAAATCAATTATTCTCTATTGATACTGCTGGTGATAATAAATTAAAGAAAAAAGCTGTTAAACCTTATAAAGTTTTAAAATCTCATGAAATTTTAGCTCAAAGATCAAAAGCTCCAGGTTATAGTAATCCTCATAAAAAATCTGATAATAAAATTGATGGTGTTAAAAAGAAAGAAATTCATAGATTAATGAAATTAGCTGGTAGAGTTCAAGGTGAAACTTCTACTAATACAATTATTGATAAAGAAGGTCTTGTTAATACAAATGCTTATGATGTTTGGGGTGCTCCAGAAGCTCCAAAAGATCCAAAACCTGAAATTTTAGAAAAATTTAGTGATAAAGGTTGGACAAAACCAAAAACTTTACCTAAAACTTTAAAAGAGTCTCCAATTCAAGTTGAAAAATCTGAATTAATTCCAAATGCTGGTAAATCTTATAATCCATCTTTAGAATCTTGGAAATCTTTAATAAATCAAGAATATACAAGTGTTAAAGAAAGAGAAGATAAAAAACAAGCTTTAGAAGCTCAAAGAATTAAACTTGAAAAATTATTAGCAACTGCGCATCTTAAAGAAGAAGAAGATAGTGATGATGATAATGAAGATGAAGATGAAGATGAAGAAGAACAAGATGAAGATGATGAAGATGCTTATTCATTATCAGTTAATAAACCTGTGGTAAATAAAAAGAAAACTAAAACACAAAGAAATAAACAAAAGAAACATCAAGAAAGAGTTAAAATAGAACAAGAATTAAAATCATTAAAGAAACAAATAACGGAATTACAAAAATTATCAAATTATGAAGATGAAATAAATGCAAAAGAATTACAACTACAGAAATCTGATAAAAAAGATAAAAAAAGAAAAACAAGTAAATTAGGTACAAAACATAATATTTCTGATAAACCTGTTGATGTTAAATTATCTGATGAATTAACTGATTCTTTAAGAAAATTGAAATCTGAAGGTAATTTATTACATGATACTATGAGAGGTTTACAAACTAAAGGTAAAGTTGAAACAAGAATTCCAGTTGGTAAACGTAGAAGATATCAACCAAAAGTTACTGAAAAATGGACTTATAAAGATTTTAAATGAATTTTTTTGTAACCAATATTTTTATTTTCATATATTATTTGTTATTTTCATGCATTTTACACTCAAACACTCTTTGTATATTAGATTAAATTATTCTTTAAAATGGGATTAATGGTTTTTAATTAAATTAAATTTGGTTTTAATATTTTTGTAGTTATTACTTTGATTCGGGCAGCACTCAGCTGAAAACCTAATATTCAATTATACTTACATGTATTTCCGAATTCATTATAATCACCTGAAGTTGAAGATAATCTCAACAATGAGCTCCAATTTAAAGCATCTAATCATTGTTCCAGGTCATGGGATCTGGAAAAGAACAAACGATGGCTCTAATACAGAAGATTGGTTTTTAGAATCATTCCAAGTAGAAGGACATGATCATTTGTTATTTATTGAACATATCAAAATTGGTATAAAAGAATTACAAAAAGATCCTGAAGCTTTATTATTATTTAGTGGTGGACAAACTAAAAAACAGGCTGGTCCTATTTCAGAAGCACAAAGTTATTATCTTTTAGCTGAAAACTTAGGTTTATTAGAAGGTTTAACTGATAGAATATCAACTGAAGAATTTGCAAGAGATTCATTTGAAAATGTTCTTTATTCTTTATCAAGATTTAATGAAATCGTTGGTAATTATCCTTCCAAGATCACGGTTCCAGGGTTTGAATTTAAAAGATCAAGATTCTTGGATTATCATTTCCCTGCTTTGAAATTCCCAATTGAAAATGTTAATTATATTGGTGTTGATCCTAAACCAGATTATGAAATTGGTTCATTAGAACATGAAAAATATTTTAATGATTTATCAAATGCTGAGAATAGAAATGCATTATCATTATTTGCTAAAGATCCTTTTGGAACTGGTGAAGTGCTTTCAACTAAACGTACAAAGAGAAATCCTTTCAATAGGTATCATGGATATTTACACAAACATGAAATTTTAAAATTCTTTTTCGAACAAGATCCTTCAAAAGTTAATACAGTTCCATGGTGAAATTAGGATAAATAATTACATATAAATCATAAATATTGTATTTAATCTATATATAAAAGCTAATTGAATCTTTTTCATAAATAACATAACCACATAACTAAAACCGTAACATATAAATAAATAAATAAAGTGAATGAGCAACTAATAGAAACTCCTCTTTTTTCAGTCAATTTCTGCAATTTGATCACTTAATAACTTTTTTGGTTGAATACCATCCAATAAATTTTCTAATTGAATTTTACGATCTTCTTGGGAATCAACATCTTTTAATTTATCTTCAATTTCTTTAATTTCCTTTTCAATTGAAATAATTGCTGCATCACTACCTAAAGTTTCTAATGACCAATTACCATCTTGATGAATTTCAAGTAAATAATCATGATATTTAATTAATAAAGGACGATGAGAAAGTGTAATGAATGCAAAATTCTTTTTTCTTAATAAATCAAATAAATAAGCTTCAATATCACTACTAATTGCATTAGTTGCTTCATCTAATACAACAAATTTTGGATTTTTAAATAAAATTCTTGCAAATTGAACTCTTTGCTTTTCACCACCACTTAATACATCTTTCCAATCATGAATTGAATTTAAATAATTTAACCCAACATCACGATCTAATAAATATTCTAATCTAACTTCTTTCAAAATTCTAATCAAATCTTGATCAGTTTTACCTTCATTCAGCATTTCAGAATGTGACATTGGATAAATTAGTTGGTCTCTAAGAGTACCATTACTAAAATATGCCTTTTGTGGTAAATAAATTATATCATCATCATTTGGTTTAGAAATCAAACCATGATATAATGGCCATAATCCTGCCAAGATTCTTTCAATTGAAGTTTTACCACATCCATTCATACCCAAGATTAAAATACTTTCATGTTGTTTTAAATTAATATCAAGTTCATTAATTAATTTTGTACCTTCACCTCCATTAATAGTTGGGATAATAACATTAATTTTTTCAAATCTTAGCCCATTATAATGATATTGAATAGCACCTTTAATATTTTCATTCCAATCTTCACTACCAAATTGGAAATCACCATCATGAACTTGATGTAAAACTGTTAAAAGTGTGAAAACTCTATCAGTATAACCAGTTAGTTTAGAAATATCTTTGATTGAATACATCAATCTACTACCAGCATCTGCCATATTTAACATTAATCTCTTATTAACAATAAATTGACGCATATTTCTATCTTCTGTACTTTTCTTAACATCATCTTTAACAGAAATGATGAAAATTGGAATTGAAGCATATAAATAACCTAATGCAGACCAAGTATATTTCAAAATATAATCTTCCAAGACATTATATGCAACTTTAATTCTATTAACTTTGAAAACATGATTCATCATTTTGTCGTAAATTTCATTAATTTTAATTTTTTCTAAATTAGTACCATTATAAAATGCAATTTCTTCACTATTTGTAATTAAATTTAAATGATCATTATAATATTCACCTTCCAAAGCAGATTTTTCTTTTGTTAATTTCCCAAATGGTGGTGTATTTCTTTTCAATATATAAGCACTAATGAAATAGTTAACAAAAATACCTGTAATACCAGCAGTACCTAAATTATCTCTTAAATAAACTGCAAAGAATACTAAATCAATCATTGGTTTACCAATATTTGAAAATAAGGAACAAATAGAATTGCAAAATCTATTTATATCAGTGGTGATGAAATTATCAATATCTTTGATTGATTGATCATTAAACATAACTTTATAATAAACCATTCTTGGATCCAAGTACATATCATGGACATATCTTGTTAAATTTGTTCTAAAGTTAACTGAAAGTTTCTTAACAAGATATTTAATTGCACTATTTGTATATGACGCAGGAACAGCCATTAAAAACCAATAAGCTAAATCACGTAAGAATTTTCTAAATTTACCCCCAATAATATCTTTCACAATTTGGCCATCAAGTTTAGCAATTAATAAACTTAACCAAGTTCTTAAAATCAAAAAGAAGAATTGTGTTATTAAGAATATAGAATTCTTATCATTTACTTTTGGTATTAAGATTTGCCAAATTATGATTAATTGATTTAAGAATTTAGAACTGAAAATCTTATCATGATCTTCTTCAGTTTTGATATTTTTAGCAAAGTTTTTATATTTAAACTTATCCTTTTCATATAATTCAGGTTCTGTTGGTTGAATAATGACTCTTTTCTGTCTATTCTTGTAAGGTATGAACAATTCTCTTGCACCATTCTTCAATATTGTAGAAGACGATCTCTTGTAAAGCGGTCTAGAATCTCTCTTATCTCTGATATCAGAAATGACCTTGTTCAACGTGTAAATCACAGCAACAGTTGTTGATGAAAACAATGAAAGCAAAAAAATCACAACATGCTTTGATGGGTTCTTCCTATTTTCTTTGTATAGCTGCAATAGGTTCCGTGCAATCAGCCTAAGCTCCTGGCTCCTGCTTCCCGGGTTCAACAACTTTGATATCAGCGTACTCATTACCCTTTTACCAAATCCTTTTCCCACTATCTAGCTTTCAAATACCTGTGTATTCAAATCTTGTTGACAGATTCGCCGCCATGAAGAAGAAATTCTGGCGCTTAAATAGTTTTGATGTTTTTTAGTGTGCTCACTCACAGCTGTCAAAATATTGATGTCTGTGGGGAACCCGGATTGGCACTTTTAGTTACCGAGGAACAACTTGACGCAATCAACAATAAACAGGGTCTTTAAAACTACGAGAAACAGGAAACAGATCTGATTTACTGATTAATATTTGATTACTCTGCTAGAAACTCATCTTGGATCAGGAGAAGCACCGGTCTGCTAACCTCATCATGTTCAACTGCATACTGCAAGATCTTTACGAGGTTCAAAATTTTGCGTTCTTTAGCTAATTGTACTTCATCAATTGAATTTACATCTGCAGACAATTCTTCTAATTTCTTAGATATCTCATAAGCTCTATTAATCACATCTTGATCAAAAAATTTAGTAGCGATCTTAACTCCATACCTTCTAATATCTATAATACCTGATGTGATACGATAATTCATCTTCAATGTACCATTTTGTGATGCACTTGAACTCATATGATTTTGTAAAACACCTTGCTTTGTGCCCATAATCTTAGAAAGTTTATGAAAATGTGTTGAAAGGAAAATTGTTGCATTTGTATTTAATAAATGTTCACAAATTGCTAATGAAATTGTGAAACCATCATTTAAACTTGATCCTCTACCTAATTCATCAATAATAATAAGACTTTTTTCATCTGCATCTTCAATAACACATAAAATTTCATTCATTTCTGTAGTGAAACTTGATGAAGTTGTTGCAAAATTATCAACACATAAACGAGCTCTTAAATTATTATATAATGGAAATGATGCATATTCAGCTGGTACTAAACACCCCATTTGAGCCATAATCACCAATATAGAAACTTGTTTCATATATACAGATTTACCACTCATATTTGTCCCTGTAATGACTTGAAACCTTGAAGTTTCTTGAACTGAACAAATAGCATTAGGAATAAAATTTGGAATCATTTTCTGAAGTATTGGATGTTTAGCTGATCTTATAGTTAATATTCCTGTGATTTCTGGTACAATATAATCCCATTGTAATGATGTTTCTGCAAAACTTTGTAATAAATCTAAAATTGCTAATGCTTCACTTGTCATGAATAATACTGGTAAATAATTCACAATTTCATTTGTCAAATCATCAAGAACATTTTCACTCAACATTAAAATTTCAGCAGCAATATCATCTAATCTTGCATTTGCCTTAACAAGTTCTAAAGTTGTTGTTTCTTTATATGTTTTTTTACTTTTAGTATTAATGAAAACTTCTGGTAACTCAGATTCATCCAATTGTTGAACTTTAAGGAAAAACCCTCTTCTACTGTTATATGATTGCTCAATTTGTAAGTTTTCATGGGCTTCATTAACTTCTTCAATATATTGTAAAATCTGATCAACACTTGCCTTATAAGCTTGTCTAGATATATCAATGAGACCATTTCTTCCAGCTTTAACAGCGTACATCCTTTGATTTCTCAAATCTAATGGTCCTGATGCCCAATTACAATCTTCATTAATACACTCATCTATAATATCTTTCACTTCTGTGATCCCTGGGTCACCACATATATCTTGAATTTGTTGAAGTAATGGACTTGTAGTTCCTTCAAGTAACTGTGATATCTTCTGAGCAGTGACGGCAGCTTGCTTGAACAAGATCACTTGATTTACAAGATGAGTTGCTTCTGTACCTGAACCTTTTTTCATAAGTAATAATGCGAATAATTTATCTAAATCTTGTAAATCTTTCAATAATAAGCGTACATCTAATAGGACCGCATTTTTCTCCATCAACTCTTTAACAGCGCCAGATCTCATCACAATACTTCCTTTATCAGTTAATGGTTGTAATATATTGTTTTTCAATGTTCTTTCACCCATTTTGGTTTTAGTTGAGTTTAAAAATTTGTACAAAGATGTTCCATGTTTATCCTCTAAATTCTCTAATAACTCAAGACTCTTTATAGTTGTAGAATCAATAAACATTGTACTTTCAGGAACCTCATATCTAAATCTATATTGACGGAACTCAATATTCTTCCATTTAGATGATAATTTCAAATACCTAAGACCACCAGCTAAAGCACGTAATGCATATATCTTTTCATCCAATACTTCCTTCAAATAGTTCACATCTTTTTCAAAAGCCATCTCTTCAATACTCTCTAATCCGTACGATTCGCTATAATGCTTCTTCTCAACTCCATTGATCTTCACTGATTCATCCAAATTTGACCCTAAAATAACCGCCATCTTGTTTGGTGAAGGTCTCAAAGATTGAGCAGGAACCAAGACTTCATTAGGATCAAATACTTGAAGCTTATGAATGGTACGAACATAAGTCTGTGAATCCAAGATCTCACTCAATATAATCTCACCAGTTCCAAGGTTTATGAATGCCAAACCAACTTTCACTTCCAATTTGTTCTTATCTTCAAATACAGAACATATGATTGTATTAGCCGCCCTGGAAGCCACTGCAGTACGACATTGGGATTGACAAGGTTCTGAAATAAGTCTGCTTGATCCGCCAGTCTGCTCGGCTCTGCTTGATAAGAACGCACTCAATACCATCTATTATCTATTAATTTTGAGTTGTATTTGATGTTTATTGTGGAAGAATCAAAGGTTTCATTCTGGCGCTTAAATTTAATATTATATCAATTTGCCAAATAACCAATGGCGTATTAAATCATAGACCGATAAAAACCGAGAAAAATAAAATAATATCGAAATCGTAACCAATAATTCCCAAAAATCTTTCATCACTGGTTCATTAATTGTAGTACGTATGCTAGTTTCAATTTTTACCTTATATGTATCGGTTAATTATTCTTCCTTATGGCTTTTAGATGACTATTATCTCTTACTGAAGTGCTAAGATAAAACACAATGTAGAACTTTTTATTATAACAAATTCTTTAAATTATACAAAAAAACTAACCAACAACATTTTTCTCGTCTCTAAATCTTTGAATATCAGCTAAGAATGGTAAACCACCACCTGGTGCTGGTGCTGAAGGCTGTTGTGAGAAAACTTGAGGTGCTGGAGCTGGAGGTGGTGGTGGTGCACTTGACTGTGGTAAAGGTGGAGGAGCAGGTGCACTAGCTTGAGGTAATGGTGGTGGAGGTGGTGCGCTGGATTGAGGTAATGGTGGTGGTGGTGGTGCGCTAGATTGAGGTAATGGAGGTGGAGCTGGTGCACTTGATTCTGGTAATGGTGGTGGAGCTGGTGCACTAACTTGAGGTAATGGTGGTGGAGCTGGTGCACTAACTTGAGGTAATGGTGGTGGAGCTGGTGCACTTGATTCTGGTAATGGAGGTGGTGGTGGTGCACTTGATTCTGGTAATGGTGGTGCTGGAGGTGCACTTGATTCTGGTAAAGGTGGTGCTGGAGGTGCACTTGATTCTGGTAAAGGTGGTGGTTGAACATTGTTTTCTGGAGCTGGTGATCCTCTTGCAGGTGTAGATAATGAGTCCACAAATTCATCATCAGATTTGACATTATTTTGATTCAATTCTGGATGTGGGTGTGCAGCAAAAGAATCATCAGCTGGGCCTTCTTCAGTTGGATAAGGTGGTGATGGTGGAGTTGGAGGAATTTGTTCTTGTGTAGCAGATGGAGCTGGTGGTGCAACTGGAGGTGGTGGGGGTGGTGTATTATTTGATGAAATACTTGGAACAGCTGGAGCAATAGGAACTGGTTTTTCCTTTGGTGCATTAAATGCTTGTGGTTGTTCTTGTTTTGGAGTTGATACTTGGGAATTTGAATTAGTTCTTGGTGGACCCATACCTGAAAACAATAATCCAGCTAGATGAGCAGCACCTTGGCGATTTGGTATATCTTCCTCGTCATCTTCACTCTTTTCTTCTTCAGATCCCCATCCATCATCATCACTATCAACACCTCTTTGAGCCTTACGTTGAGCTTCAATAGATTTAGGATTAATTGAAGGAACCGGAGCAGCAGCAGATTGGGGTTTGTTGTTGAAGCTACTAGTTGAGTTTTGTTTGACTGGTTGTGGTTTAGCAGCTTCTTGTGGTTGTTGTGATTTACCAAATGGATTATTTGAAGAAATAGCAGCTGGAGCTGTTGTTTTAGCAAATGGATTAGTATCATGATGTTGAACTCCTCCAAACTTATCATCTTTCTTTTCTTCAGATTTTGGTTGTTCTTGAGCAGGAGCAGCTGAGGTTGTTGGAGCAGCTGGTGCTTTTGGAGCTTGTGGTTGTGGTGAAAAAGTTTTAGCAGGTGGTTGACTTGGTGGTTCTTCATCTTCATCCTTTTCAGCATCTTCAAGTTCTTTACGTAATTGAGCCAATCTAGCTTCTTTATCAGCTTTTTTCTTCTTCTTTAAATCTTCTAATTGTTGACGAAGTTTCAATTCTTCTTCATCAACTTCTTCTTCAGATTCTGCAGGTTTTGAAGCTGCCTTTGGTGGAGCTCTTGATGATGGAGGTGGTGGTGGGGCAGCTTTAGCTTTAGCTTGTGCTTCAAATTGAGGAGTTGGTGGTTGAGATTGAGGTTGAGATTGTGGTTGAGCAACTTGTTTTGGTGCTTCCTGTTGTGGAACAGCTTGTGGAGCAGCTTGTTGTGGAGCAAATTGTTGACCAGTTGTCTGTGGTGAATTGACTTGTGGAGTAGAAGGTGTTGATGGAGATTCATTTTTATTACCACCATGTCTTGAAATACCAAATTTAGCCAATCTTTCATTCATTTTTCTCTTAGCTTGTTCCTTGATATAAGCAGCTCTATCAGAAGGATTACTGAAACTTGAGTAAGAATCTGAAGTAGAAGAAGCAGCTGGAGCTTGTGCAGATGATCCTGATGTTTGAGGTTGAACAGGTTGTTGAGGTTGAGTATTTCTAACTTCAAATGATGATTGTCTTGAACCTTGTGGTTGTGGAGTAGCAGTTGGTGTACTAATTCTCAAAGATTTAATCAAATCAGCAACATCTGGTTGAACATCAAGACCTAATTCAAATTTCTTATAGCCTTTAGGATCACTATCATGATTCAAAGTAGATAAAACACCTTGAGATAATTCTTTAATAGATTTTTCAATATCATAAATGATTTCTTGATTTTCTTTATTTTTTGATTTAATTTTAGAAACTTCTTCATTCAATAATTGTTGTTCTTTATCAAAATCTGCTGTTGGATCAGTAACAGTTTTACCAGTCAGTGCAGCCATTCTTTGAGCTAAAAGAGCTTTACTTTGAGCTTTTCTTTTATCTGATTCAGTAACTTCACCATTTGGACCAGAACCAACAATTGAAGAAGGATGTTGGATTTTATAAAGATCAATTCTTGAGTTTGTGATATCATTATCAATTCTTGAAATTTCACTGATTAATTTTGGAACTCTTGAAACTAAAGTGTTTAATTTATCCTTTTTACCTAAATGATCATTTGAAATATTTGGTTTTGGTAAAGTTCTAATTTGATTTTTCAAATTTTCAATTTCTTGTAAATCTTTAGCATGAGCTTCTTCTCTTTTAGATCCTTCAGCTTTTAATGTATCCAATTGTCTTTGGGCTTTTTGAATCTTGGATTTCAAATCATCAACTTGTGATTCAGAAGTTTGATTTTCTGATCTTCTTCTATTTTTGGAAGTGGTAATATCACCATCATCATTGTTTTTGAAACTAGATCCACCAAATGATGGTTGACTTTTTAATTTATTTTTAGCATAATTGATATTCTTAATACTATCTGGTATTAATGAGTCAGGTAATTGATTTGGAAGTTCGTTACCATTCAATTTTCTATAAATCAACCACATACCTAATGAAAACAATTCTTTATTTAAGCCAGTAGTTGTTTCAGTGGTGATTAAATTCCAAACTTTTTCCAACTCACCACGATTCAAACCTGATTTTCTGAAAATTTCAGCAGAAGTTTGAGGATCTAATTGACCAGTTTTCTTTGTATCATAAGTATCAAAAATCTTACTAAATAAATGTTTTTCTTCAGGTTTAATAAATTCTTGATTTTGTTGTGGTGGTAAGTTTTGAAATTGTGAAAAACCAACAAATCCTGTACGTTGAGGTTGTAAATAACTTGATTGAAATAATGAATTATTACCAACACCAGTTTTTTGAGCTTGTAACCCACCAGTAAACATTGAATTGTTACCAAAGCCAGTCTTTTGAGCTTGTAAAAGAGCTGGAGGATTATAATTTGGTTGAAAACCTGTTGCTTGACTTTGTAGAGGTTGCTGGAACCCTGTAGCTTGACTTTGTAAAGGCTGTTGAAACCCTGTGGCTTGAGCTTGTAGAGGTTGATAGCCAGTAGCTTGAGCTTGTAATGGTTGGAATCCAGTTCTTTGTGGTTGCAATGGTTGATAACCAGTAGCTTGTGGTAAGATTTGTGGTTGATAACCAGTTGGTTGATTTTGTAATTGAAGACCATTCAAACTTTGTAAATTATCAAATGGTGTATTTCTTTTTGGTGCATCATCATCTGGAATACTGAAATTAATTGCATCAACAAAACCTTCAACTTCATTTTTAACACTTGATTGTAATTTGAACGGGATAGGTTGACCTCTTAAACCAACATTACATAAATGTAAAGCTAAAGCAAATTCAGGGAATAATAATTGACCAGATTTATTCAAATCAGATAATTCCCAAATGTTTGCCAATTGAGATGGTTGTAATCCAGATCTCATCAAGATTTCTCTAGCAGCATCTGCTGTAATTGCATTTGAACTCTTTGGAACTGCACTACGGAATAAATCTTCAAATTTTTGTTGATCTTGTGCAGTTAAGAAAGATAACCTAATGTTTGGAATTTTTAATTCATCATTCTTATCAATTGATTGAGCAGCAGTTGTGAAACCTGTCTTTTGAGGAGCTAATGGTTGATTTACCTGCTGTTGTTGTTGGAATCCGAATTGCTGAGTTTGTTGAGGTTGAACTTGACCAAATCCTCCAGCACCAACATAACCTGTTTGTTGAGGAGCAACGAATCCAGTTTGTTGAGGTTGAACAAACCCAGTTGGTTGTGAGTAAAGCGGTTGTTGTTGAGCTAAAGGTTGACTGAAACCATATCCACCAGTAGGTTGAGCTAATTGATTTTGGAAACTAGTTTGTGGAGGTTGTTGTTGTTGTTGGAATTGATTATTTTGGAATCCTGTTTGCTGAGGAGGCAATTGACCAAATCCAGTTTGTTGGTATCCCAATGGTTGTTGTGCTTGTTGGCCACCATTGAACTGGTTCCCCTGTTGTTGGAACCCAGTGTTGTTAAACATATTCTGTCTGTGATCTGTGTAGCAATTGTTGTCTATCAGTTGTTGTATGATTCTGATCTGAAATGTGTTACAATTGTATTTCAGTTGTTGATTCTGGTGAAGAAAATTAGGGGCACAGTGGTACAGCGCCAGTGCAATAACCATTTCCGATACCGACAGACTCTTGGTGCTTAACTACTGGCAATTTTAATAGAACTGGCTACAAATGACAGGAAATTGATTTGTGATTGTATATTATTAGCTGTCTATTGATTACTGTATCCTTTGATTCTAAAGGTTACCGGTTTTCTGGAGTTTTGTAAAGTAAATTATGATAAAGTTCTTTGTCTCTCAAAAAACACCAAAATCAATACAACCATAATTATCAGTTATTCACAATTCAAACACCAAGACTCTAAGGATCTCATACTTTGAAATAAAATTAATGCTGATCTGCTGCTGAATGCTTCTGGGCTATACAGTGCTATGACTTATCAACCGAAATTGATGAAGTCATCAATAGTTATACTTTCAGCTTGTATAATAAAACACTAAAAGTATTGCAATGAAGCAAGTTCAGTTTAGCGTTTTCTCTTTCTCCGTAAATTTTTTGGAATATACCTCACTTCACATTGTTATTAACTTTCAATCTTTCATCCACGTTTATACCTTTAAGTTCTAATTGTTCCACAAGTGATTGATTATCACGATGTAATAATTGAATATATTCAGCAGATTTATTCAAGATAAGAATTTCTGATCTATTATCACTTGGTTTCAAATCAGGATTCAAACTAACCAACTTCTCAAAAGCATCTCTTATGGCTTTTCTTCTTTTATTTTCTGATTCTATATGATGTTTTTTTTTCTCTTCATCGGATAAGAAGACTGTCTTTTTGGTTGCCTTTGGCTTTTTAACCTTCTGTTGAGTCTTTGAAGTCTGTTCCTTCGAGGAAGATGGGGTTGTAGGCTCGGGACTGACACTTGACATGGTTCCAAAAGGATTTTTCCAATGAGATTCTAACGGTTTTGTGGCACCTTTTGTGAGTTTGTTGAAGTTGATGAAGTTGTTGGTTCTTGACATGTGAAGAAAATTAAAACAGCTTCTTTGTCCGAAAATTGGGCCTTTACACGAGCTTGAACTTTGCATAATCTACACAGATTGGACAAAGACGATCAAGATATGAATCTATGGGTTGAAAGGGGACAGACACAGACAGGATAAGAGAAGACATCACAAATAATTGATTAATACGTATAATTAGTTAAGGTTACTTTCTGTTCTTTCTCTATTTCTTTGAGTACTTTCGTGGGTACTAAAATTAGATTATAACAATAAGAAATACTCAGAACACAGAGCAGCATATTCTTTTGTAAAAAAAACGACATTTTATCACCAGGAAAAGACTGGTTCAATTCTCTCAAACAAAAGATCTCAGTAACACAATAAAAATGAGTATGATCCTTATTATCTTTTTATCTTTCAAGTAATTAAATCTAGTTAATGTACAAAACTGTCCTCCGCGTAAAATCTTCATCAAAAAATTAGAAAATTTAAAAAAAAATCTAGTCTTGACACGAAAGACAATTCCATAACATCAACAAAGTCAGCTTTCAAACAACAACAAAGTCAGAGATCTTCAATATAGAGGAAATCTGAATCTCAATTCAATTACAAAATAGGTCTCATAATAGCTGCCATTGCCGTCGCGTTATATCGTAATCGCAACATGTCAAGTATATCAATTCAACTCTCAAGGTTTAATCTACCTCAAGCTACAAAATATTTGATTGGATCATTAATTGGTTCTTCACTGTTTTTATTATTTCTAAGATATAAAACTTATAACAGTTTAGTGGAAATTGGTGAAAAAGATGTTGATTTTAGTAAAATCATTGTTCCTTATTTACAATTGATTCCAAATCATACTTTATTTAATCCTTGGACTGTGGTTACTTCAATTTTCGTGGAAACTAATATATTCAAATTTTTAATTTCAATTGTGGTTTTATATTTTGCAGGTAAATTCATTGAAAGATCTTGGTCAAGTAAAGAATTAATCAAATATGTCGTTGTTATTGGTGGTGTTACAAATTTATTAGTTTCTTTATCACTAATTATTTCAAATATTTTCTTTAAATCAGAATTTTTTAATATCCCTGTTGATACTAATCTTTCAGTTTTAATTAGTTTCTTAGTTGTCTTGAAACAATTAATCCCAGAACATTCATTAAATTTGTTTAAAGGTGTTGTTAATGCTAGAGTTAAACATCTACCATTTGTTGTCTTATTAAGTATCACAATTTTTGCAATTATTACTTTCCAACCAGCTCCATTTTTCCAAGCTTGGATTGGATTTTTAGTTTCATGGTCATACTTAAGATTTTTTCAATCTAATATTATTGATCCTTTATTACCACAACCAAATGATGTTATTGGTGTTCAAAGATTAAAAGGTGATGCTTCAGAAACTTTTAGTCTTGTTCATTTCTTCCCAGATGCTTTATCACCAATACTTTCACCAATTTTCAACCAATTTTATGAATTATTTGTTCAATTAGGATTCTTAAATAAATTCAATGATTCAGAAATTGAACAAGGTAATTTAGTTGCAAATAGAAGATTAACAGGTCAACAAAATGCTCAACAAGTTGATGGTAGAAGAGAAGCTGAAAGAAGAAGACAAGTTGCTTTGAAAGTTTTAGAAGAAAGAATCGGTGAAGAACCATCAAAGAAACAAGTTGAAGATTTAGCTTCTTCTTCTACATAGATGTGGAATCTGAATAATTAGTGTTTTATTCAACTAAGTTTTTTAATTATTGATTTCGGAGAAATTTTCAAAAATTCAAAATTTTAAGTATATACACATGACATTTAAGAACTTCAACCCCTGTAGAGACTAATAAAAAGATTCACTAACCATGTAGTCCACTATCAAACAAAAATATGGGTTAAATTAGTTCAAAATAGAGGAAATCGCCCGGAAAAATAGCAAAAAAAAAAATTTCGACCCCGGTCAGGATTGAACTGACGATCTTGCGATAACCTGTTGAAAGTTTTAACAGTCGCACGCCTTAACCAACTTGGCCACGGAGTCTTTGTTGGAGGTTTTGAAATGTTTGAAAAGCTACACTGCCTTTCATTGCTTACGTAAATTATAACGTAATCTGAAATTAAAATTGTAATTTATTCAATATATTTATACTATAACATACCATTTTTAAAATTTATTTCCAGATTAAACGTTTATATCTATTGAACGGTTATATTTTTAGGCCAATTTTATAGGTTTGAATTTTTGTGTTTTTTTCTTTTAAAATAAATATGACTTAATAAATTTTATTTTTACTTTAGAAATGAAAATAATTTTAATGTTTTAAAAAAATTATCTTGAAAATAGCTCTTTTAAATACATTAGTGAGTACCCAAAAGATTTATGAGCATTTTGGTATCACTTTATCATTCTTTGAGGCTAAATTTGTGATACAATTCTATAAAATAGATTTATTACGTAATAATTTTCCGCGAATGCGTTCTATGATACTTTATGTGTCATATAATCTAATGAGATCTGTGAATAGTTAAGAGTTTAAATAAATGATATGAAAATATCTTTACGATAGAGCAAGATGTTGATGAAGCCTAAAGATTTTAGGGATCGTGAAGGAATAATGATTCAAACGTTCAGATGTCTAAAATATATAAGACATTATAATATATATGATACAGTATAAAAATTACCATGCATTTCTTGAGACCAATTTAGAATTAAACAAAATAATATGGAAGTATTTGAATTAAATTATTTTCACGGTAAGTGCTTGAGATGATGATCAACACTGAGTATAAACGGTTTTATTATCTACTTCGAAATTCACCAATAATATATATTAAAAGCTTCCGACACATAGCTTTCTTAATCCCATAAACTTGATTAAATACTCGAAAATGATATATTTAAATAAAAGAAGTACCTATTGAAAAATCAAAAATAAAAAAGACAAACACCGAACACATAAATTTCTTAATTTGAAAAAAGACCATATAAGGGAAACGTGATAATTTAAATTGAATAACAATATGAATATATATATATATATATATTTTCCCCAAAGGTGGATAAGACCAGCTTATAATAAATATTTGAATGATTTCCAATTCTCACGAATACAATTTTGAATAGTTCTCTTTTATTCATCAAGTTCAATAACTCCTGGTAAGTCACCAATATCACCGAATGTGTTTTCACTTGAATACAAGACATACAAAAATCCATCTTTATCTTTATGTTCTTCATAAATTGAACTCATTGAAGCTGCAGTTGGTGGTAATATATCATTAACAAAGATGAAAATGGCCTTTTCAGGTGGTAAATGAATTCTTTTTCTAATAACATAAACAAATTGACCAATTGTTAAATCATATGGAACAAGATACTTCTTCTTGTCAATTTCTGGTAAGTTGGATTTCTCAGCCCTTTCACAGATGATTGGAATACGATTGTTAAATCTTTGGCAAATCTTTGTAGCTTCAGCTTTTCTCTTTTCTAAAATTATAAGCCTTGTTAGTATATGACACGCCAAAATAAAAATATAAATCATTTTTGACACATACCAAAAGAGTGTTCGTCTTTAAATTCAAATCTCATGATGACAGGTGAGGATTTGTTCTTATTCCTGATATGTATATATCTGTATCCATTGTTAGTATTTAATTCAATTATCAATCCACAATAATTTCTGATTGTTTTTAATTATAAAGGTTATACAGGATTTTGACACAAACAACTTCAAGACTTTGAAAGCACAAGTCTTTTGAAGCATTGAATCCCTCTCATCACCTTCAATCTTCTCTCTGACATTACTCACCTCTCCTAATTAGCTTCTCTCTCAACTATCCTGTTGATTGTTTGGATTAAAGGTTGTTGTTGTTGATTTGTGGAGGACGAGTGGCGTCTTAATTTCTAAAACAAGGTTATAATCGTTTGATAAGGAGAACCGGTGGAGGGTAACCCCGGATTATCAAGTTATCAAATAATAGTCAAATTTGAGCTTTCAATTGGTTTAAATGTATTTATAGACAGTAATATAAGCAGATATTATACATAGAACATAATTTATATCTTTAAATCATTGAAAAGTCTCTTTCCCACTGTCAACTCCTCTTTTATGCCACAAATCGTGTCTTTTGTATGTGTTTTCAGGACGGTTCGCGACGCAAATGGTTTGTTTTTGGTGGAGATATTAGAACAATAAGTAATTTGAATATTTGAAGTCATCAGATTCGCTTTAAAATTACAAACAATTGAGCTTATCTGCGCAATGTCTTCCTCTAGATTTGCAGTGAGACCCACAAGGAAACTAATAGAGTCCAGTGCTAAGTGTCCCGAAGCAGTATGTGTATTATATTGGATTGTTGTAGATTAACCCACAATTATAGATATTATATACTAATCATATTACTAAAGGCTGCTGCTTATGGTGAATGTGTGCTACAACACTATACAAATATGAAGAAAAACACATGTGGTAAAGAGTTTGAAGCGTTTAGATCATGTGTTCAAAAGCATTTTGGTAGGAAAATATAACTTTAATAGATTTTTATAATCCCCATATTTATTTTATTTATTTACAAAAGTTTAATCACTAATATCCAAACTTTACATAATTTTTATATTAAATATATATATAACTCTAAAAATATATCAGATGTCTATGTAAATATCATCTTTAGATTCTTAAGATTCTTAAGTTAAATGTACAGTCATTGATTGCTTGTTCTTCATCAGCAACAACTTCTTTAGTTGAATCATTAAATGGTTCAAGTTCACCTCTTAAAGTCTTGGTTAACATTTCTTTATGAGTTGAAATAACATTTTCAAAATCAATAGTATCATTGATTAATTTATATTGAACTGTAACATCATCAGTAGCTTCTAATCCACCTTTTTTACGTAATCTTTGAACACGATTAACTAATTCACGAGCTAAACCTTCAGTTTTCAATTCTGGATAAATTGCAATATCTAAAATAATTAAAACATCTTGATCTTTATCAGTTCTAACTTCTTGATTTTCATTAGCTTTATCTTCTGGTAAACCTCTTAAAACAGTTAAATCACCTTCAACTAAATCAATACCTGCAACAGTAATTTTACCATTAGCTGCATAACCTTCAACTTCTTCAGATGTTAATTTTGGTAAAGCTTCTTTAACTTTTTTACCATCTTTTTTCAATTTTCTACCTAAAACTGGCCAATCAGCAACAGCGGTATATTCAACATTATATTTCTTTTCATCTGAAGTAATGATTAAATCACGAATGTTTAATTCTTCAATGATATAACCTTTCAAAGCTTCAATATCAGCCAAGTATTGTTTATCACTATGTAAGATAACCAATTGTTTTAATGGAGTTTTCAATGAAATCATCTTCTTTTCACGAATGTTACGACCTAAATCAATAACTTTTTGCATACGTGAAACAGCAGTTTCAATACGTTCATCAAATAATTCTTCACGAACAGTTGGATATTGTAAGAAATGAACAGATCTAATATCTTTTTTATTTAATGATAATTCAGTTAAGAATTCTTCTTTGAAATAACCACTTAATCTTTGATAAATAGTTTCTGATAAGAATGGAGTAAATGGACCCATTGCACGATCTAAACCAAATAAAGCTTCAGTTAAAGTGTTTAATGATTTTTGAGTATCATCAATTGAAACTTCACCTTTCAAACGACGACGGTTAAATCTAATATACCAATTGGTTAATTCATCAATAAATCCTAATAATCTTGGAACAACAGTATATAATCTATAACCAGTCATTTCTTCATGAATAAATTTGATTAATGATTGTAATGAAGCTAAAACCCATCTATCCATAACATTATCAGATTTTAATGAAGCATCATATTTAAAATCAACATTTTCATTTTTTTTCAATAATGCAATTGAACCTTCCAAGAATTTAACAGAATTCCACCATGGTAATAAAACTTTTGAAACAACTTCTTTAACACCTTCTTCTTTAAATTTCAAAGTTTCAGCACGTAAAACAGGTGAATTGATTAAATATAATCTTAAAGCATCAGCACCATATTTATCTAAAACAATAGTTGGATCTGGATAATTCTTTAAACGTTTAGACATTTTTTTACCATCTGAAGCCAAGACAATACCACTAACAATAACATTTTTATATGGTGCAGTGTTGAATAAATGAGTACCTAATACTGTTAAAGTATAAAACCAACCTCTAGTTTGATCTAAACCTTCAGAAATAAAATTAGCTGGGAATCTATTTTTGAAATTTTCTTTATTTTCAAATGGATAATGACCTTGTGCATAAGGCATAGAACCTGATTCAAACCAGCAATCGAAAACTTCTTCAACTCTTTTCAAGACACCTTTACCAGTCTGAGATGGGATAGTAATATCATCAATACTATCACGATGTAAATCAGTGATATCATCTCTACCTGATAATTTTTTCAATTCTTCAACTGAACCAACACAGACAACTTCTTCAAAATCATCACTAACCCATAATGGGATTGGAGTACCCCAATAACGATTTCTTGAAATATTCCAATCACGAGCATTAGCAATCCAATTTGAAAATCTTTTCTCTTTAATAGTTGATGGAACCCAATTAGTTTTTTCAACATTATTCAACATATCTGGGATTTGTTCTTTAATACGAACAAACCAAGAAGGAACAGTTCTGTATAATAAAGGAGTATCAGATCTCCAACAGAATGGATAACTATGTCTAATTTGAGAAGCTAATAATAATTTACCTTTATTGGTTAAATCTTTAATAATTTTAGAATCAGCATCTTTAACATAAATACCTGCAAAATCGGTAACTTCTTTAGTGAAACAACCTTTATCATCAACTGGATTTGGTGGTAAGTGATATTCATCAATAACACCATTAGCAGTGGCAGCGTTAAAATCTTCTTCACCAAAAGCTGGAGATTGATGAACAATACCAGTACCTGAATCTGCAGAAACATAATCAGCACCAATAACTCTAAATCCAGTTTCTTCGAATTTTTCATAGAAATAATCATATAATGGTTCATATTTTAAACCAACTAAATCTTTACCTTGAATTTTTTCCACAATTTTATATTTTTCATTTTGAGGTTTTTTATATAAAGTTTTAATTAATGATTCCATCAAGATATAATATCTTTCAGCTTTTTCATCATAAATTTTAACATATTCAAGATTTGGATTAACAGCTAATGCAATATTTGATGGTAAAGTCCATGGAGTAGTAGTCCAAGCAACCAAGAAAGTTTTTGAATCATCTTTTAATGGGAAACCAACAGTAACACATGGATCATTAACATCTTTATAATTTTGTTGAGCTTCAAAATTAGCTAATGGAGTAGTTAACCCAGTTGAATAAGGCATAACTCTAACACCTCTATAAACTTGATCTTTTTCAAATAATTGTTTGAAAACCCACCAAACAGATTCCATAAATTCTGGATATAAAGTTTTATAATCATTATCAAAATCAATCCAACGACCTAAACGACCAATTGTTTTTCTCCATTCATCAGCATAACGCATAACAATGGCTCTACATTCAGCATTATATTTATCAATACCCATAGCCATAACATCTTGTTTACCAGTAATACCTAATTTCTTATCAATTTCATGTTCAACTGGAACACCATGAGTATCCCAACCAAATCTTCTTTCAACATGATAACCATTCATAGTAGCATATCTTGGAACGATATCTTTAATAGTGGAAGCTAAAATATGACCATAATGAGGAGTACCTGTAGCAAATGGAGGACCATCAAAGAATGAAAATTCTGGTTTACCTTCAGTAATTTTTGTTGAAGTATGGAAAGCATCAATTTCATTCCAATGATCCAAAACCTTTTCTTCTTCTTTTGGGAAGGAGAAAGGAGCTGATTTAACTTCTTCTTCAGCCATCTTATTGTTTATACTATTATAATTGAATTATTATAAACAAAAAATAATGTATAATTTTTGATTGTTGATTTTAGATCAATAGATTATAAATATTATAAATACGTTTTATTTTGACTCAATTTTGATTTTTTTTTTTCACTCATTATAGAACTCAACGACGGCGAAAAATTAAAAATATTGAAATTGAAATTCGAGGGTAGCAATAATCACGTGTTGTCTATTCAAATTCCGACCTCATCTATATACTTTTCAGAACTTTTCAACTAGTTAATCAATTGGATTATTGTACTACACGGTTTTGTATTAAGTTAATCAGAGGTTCCATGATGAACAGACCTTCAAGAACTACTGTAATATTCAATAACATTCCCGAGAACTGGCTTGTTGGGATAGATCTACAATTCTTCAATACAAATAATATTTTAAAAGGTATTAAATTAATACCTGATGGAATTCATATATTACATTTTGCTAAAGATCAATCAAGTATACGACAAGGTTTTTATATAAATGCAAAAGAAGGTGATATAATCTTGGTATATTGGGATTCTCAGGAGGAGAAAATCTTAGTTGATGAAGAAATTGGTGAAATAAATATAAATAAAGAATTATCAAAAATTTCAGAATATTATTCATTTATGATTAATTATCCTAATGATGAACATTGGGAAGCACTGACAAAATATATAAATATTGGACAAGTTGCGTTCATATTACCTAAAGGTAAAAAAATTGATAGTGTTTTAACTTCAAGTGATGAAAATAATTTATTATTAGATACTTTATATAAAAGTTCTAAGTCAAGAAATTTATCACAAGATCCTATTATAAATTCAATTATTGATCAATCAAATGAAGAGATTAAATATACTATGATAAATTTAGATCAAACCATAAGACCTAATGGGAATTCAATTGAAAAAACAAAAGATTCATTAGATAAATCATGGTTTTTCCAAAAAATTTTAAATTCAGGGTTTAATGATAATGAAAATTTATTATTAAGTGAATTTCAACAATGTTATTTAAATATGATTATATTTGCAAATTATAGTAGTTCAATTCAATGGTTAAAATTCTTGAAAATTTTGTTTAATGTTAAGGAATCAATTCAAGAAAGATTAAATTTTTTTGAAAATTTTTTAGATGTGCTCACAATACAATTTGAAAAATTTCAAGAAGATTATATTGATGAATTTATAAATGAAGAATTTTTAGATAAATCAATATCAGAATTTGAATATACGGTAAAAGAATTTGAAATTCGTTCATTAATTAAAAAAATCATTAATTTGAAAAATTTATTAAGTTTAAAATTTGGGATTCATATTACTGGGTTTGTGGAAGATGATGATGAAGAAGCACCAGTAATAGTGGATATATAAGAAACATTTTGATTAAAATTCAAATATATTTTGTTTAAATTTCCAATTAATTTCAGGATTTGGTGACACAGTTGGTAATTGAAATTCCCCCTTTTTAAGATCATAAATTATTGGTAAATTTTCATAATTTGATAATGATTTTATACCTAATTGCTTTTTCAAAAAAAGATCATTTTTAGTTACTCTTCTTATCTTGAAAGATTTACTTTGAGATTCATTATTTTGAAATTTAAACCAATATATATTATCAAATAATATCCAATTAGTTTTTGAATTAGGAGGTATTATAATTTCCAATGGTTCATTTTGTGATTCAACTTGTCTTTTAATCTTTATTTTGATTCCTTTGTTATCTGGGTTTTTGCTTTTAATTGATTTTGATTCCCATTTTAATGACATTAATGTGAAATTTTCTTGTTTTAATAAATTGGGTATATGATCTAGGAATTTTGTAAATCTATAATGATAATGTAACATTGGTGAATAAGGGTATGCTAATTTAAATAATAATCTTGCAATTATTATATTTGAATTCGAATTTATAATTTCTTGATCTAATTCTATATTTAATGAATTTAGATTTTGTGTTATTGTCCCTTGGTTTTGAAGTTTATGATATAAATTATTAACTTTAATTTCAATTTGATTTGTTAAATTTATAACTTCATGTTGTGTTTCTTGTAATACTTTAGAAGTTTCTTTGTTTTCTTTTAAATATTTTCTAATTATATTTCTTTTTGCAATCATTTCATTATTTGTATAATCTTCAACCCAATTTGTATTTTGTTCATTAGCATATTTATATATTTCAAATTTATTGAAATCCAATAAAGGTCTTATTAATTTTAATTGATTAAAACTAATAAAAGGTTTTGATAACAATGGAGCATTTGAAATTTTTGAAATACCTCTTAAACCAAATTCACCACTATTATTCAATAATCTTAGAACAAAAGTTTCTAAATTATCATCTGCATGATGACCTGTAAAGATATTTTGTATTTGTAAATGATTACATATTTCATGTAATTTATCATATCTTTTAATTCTTGCCAATTTTTCAAAACTAATTGATGTACTATCTGTATTACTAGTATATAATGAAGATAAATCTAATTTACAACTTTGGAAATTTGAATCTAAACCTAATTTCTCCATTTCATGATGTATAAATTTCAATTCATTTGAACTTTCCTTCCGAAGGCCATGATCCATTGATATAGGATATATTGAAATATTTAAATTTTCCAATTGATTAACTTTATTTAATAGATGAATTAAACACATTGAATCCACACCACCAGATAAAGAGACTGCAATTTTGGAAGGAATCGAACCATTTGACCATATTTGTTTCAAAGACCTGAGAAACCTAGTCTCCATATGATTTAAATACTTGATATTAGCCATTAGATAGATGTAATACACAGTAATACAATATAAAAACTTGAATAGATCTGTACATAAACAACGTACCAATAAAGACAGTATAAAAATATTTTTCAAAAACACGTGATCGATCAGCTGACTAAGAGTCACATGATTAAAAATGAATTTTTTCAATTACATCATCATTTTTTATTAAGTTAAAATTCATTTTTCTGGTAAATTCGATTTCTTTGAAAACTTTTCAATCGCAATAAAAGGAAGCGCAATTAATGAAGTGGTAAAAAAGGATAATAGAATCGTATGATTTACATAGAATTAACAATTGATTTTAGTGATACCCAGTATACTCCTGTAGTTAATTGTAGTGCTCCCTCTGTCTAACCATTATCCTTCCTTTCCAGATCCTTCTAATCTCTGCCTAATCTTTCTGTCTGCAACCACCCCCTGATTTCAATTTGACACAATTCTCTAAACACGGAACACATAACACGGAATAGAACAGAACAATAGAATAACATTGTATTCCAGTGTATTCTAGTTCCTTCTGGGTCTGTCTATTCCCCTGCATACTCCCCTATCCTCTGCCTATGTTCTCCTTCTACTCCCTTCTACTCCCTTCTACTCCCTTCTACTCCCTGCCTACCACAATCCCTTCTAGAACCTTCTTCTTTGTTAAGCATTGTTGAGTGTGCGCTTAATCACAAAAGTCAAAATGTATAGAATTTTCTGGAGAAGTTGGTGGCTAAATCTCAACTTGTTTGAAAACTATATAAGAAGTAATTATTGCTCCTTAAATTCAATTCTTATTCTTTTTCAATTCATCAGAAGTTTATTCAATTATAATTTGATATATTAGATTACAATTAGAACAAAACAATTAACAAACATGTCTAACGCTATTGGTATTGATTTAGGTACAACATATTCATGTGTTGCTCATTTTACAAATGATCGTGTTGAAATCATTGCAAATGATCAAGGTAATAGAACTACTCCATCTTATGTTGCATTCACAGATACTGAAAGATTAATTGGTGATGCTGCTAAAAATCAAGCTGCTATGAATCCTCCAAATACTGTCTTTGATGCTAAACGTTTAATTGGTAGAAAATTTGATGATCCAGAAGTTGTTACTGATGCTAAACATTTCCCATTTAAAGTTATAGATAAAGATGGTAAACCTCATATTCAAGTTGAATTTAAAGGCGAAACTAAAGTTTTCACTCCTGAAGAAATTTCATCAATGGTTCTATTGAAAATGAAGGAAACTGCTGAAGGTTATTTAGGTGGTGCTGTTAAAGATGCTGTTGTTACTGTTCCTGCTTATTTCAATGATTCTCAAAGACAAGCTACAAAAGATGCTGGTTTAATTGCTGGTTTAAACGTTTTAAGAATTATTAATGAACCAACTGCCGCTGCTATTGCTTATGGTTTAGATAAAAAATCTCAAGGTGAACATAATGTTTTAATTTTTGATTTAGGTGGTGGTACTTTTGATGTTTCAGTATTATCTATTGATGATGGTATTTTTGAAGTTAAAGCTACTGCAGGTGATACTCATTTAGGTGGTGAAGATTTTGATAATAAATTGGTTGATTTCTTAGCTAATGAATTCAAGAGAAAGAATAAAAAGGATATTACAGGTAATCAAAGATCTTTAAGAAGATTAAGAACTGCTGCTGAACGTGCTAAACGTACACTATCATCTTCTGCTCAAGCTTCAATTGAAATTGATTCATTATTTGAAGGTATTGATTTCTATACTTCAATTACAAGAGCAAGATTTGAAGAATTATGTGCAGATTTATTTAGACAAACTATTCAACCTGTTGAAAAAGTTTTATCAGATTCAAAATTAGATAAATCTCAAATTCATGAAATTGTCTTGGTTGGTGGTTCAACTCGTGTTCCAAAAATTCAAAAATTAGTTTCAGATTTCTTCAATGGTAAAGAACCAAATAAATCAATTAATCCAGATGAAGCTGTTGCTTATGGTGCTGCTGTTCAAGCTGCTATCTTGACTGGTGATACTTCATCCAAGACTCAAGATTTATTATTATTAGATGTTGCTCCATTATCTATGGGTATTGAAACTGCAGGTGGTATAATGACAAAATTAATTCCAAGAAATTCTACAATTCCAACTAAAAAATCTGAAACTTTTTCAACTTATGCTGATAATCAACCAGGTGTTTTAATTCAAGTTTATGAAGGTGAAAGAACAAAAACTAAAGATAATAATTTATTAGGTAAATTTGAATTATCTGGTATTCCACCAGCTCCAAGAGGTGTTCCACAAATTGAAGTTACATTTGATATTGATGCTAATGGTATTTTGAATGTTTCTGCTTTGGAAAAGGGTACTGGTAAAACTCAAAAAATTACAATTACAAATGATAAAGGTAGATTATCAAAAGAAGATATTGAACGTATGGTTTCAGAAGCTGAAAAATTTAAAGCTGAAGATGAAGCTGAAGCTGAAAGAGTTCAAGCTAAGAATGGTTTAGAAGGTTATGCATATCAATTAAAGAATACTATAAATGAAGGTGCTTTTAAAGAAAAAGTTGGTGAAGAAGATTATGAAAAATTATCAAAAGAAATTGAATCAACAATTGCATGGGTTGATGATTCTCAAGCTGCTTCATTAGATGAATATAAAGATAAACAAAAAGATTTAGAAAGTGTTGCTAATCCAATTGTTACTAAATTCTATCAAGCTGGTGGTGCTCCTCAAGGTGCTGAAGGTGCTGCTCCTGGTGGATTCCCTGGTGGTGCTGGTCCAGCTCCAGGTGCTGGTGGTGATAGTGGTCCAACTGTTGAAGAAGTTGATTAGATTATTAACATCTGAAAACACAAACAAAAAAGGTTTTAATTTTAATGAGGTTTTTGCTATATGGTTTTTTAATGAATTTTTATAAATATATAGGTTATAATTTATGGTTTTAAAATAAATTTCTACATTGTAGTTTTGAATGTTCTTGAATATGTATAATACAATCTATAAATCACAATGTATAAAGGTTTAAACAGTTTCAGTTAAATGATCTCTATAATTAAAATTTAAACCAAATAAATCCAACATTGAATTAACTAATTTTGATCTTGAAATAAAGAAAGGAGTATAATATAATCTTGAAGCATGACCACCTTCAAAAATTCTAAAAGTATCCAAAGTAGCATTTTCAATTTGATTCAATACTCTTTTAACAAATACATCAGTTTCCATTTTTTTAGATTCTTGTTTGGCAAATGCTTGTTTTCTCTTGGAGAATGCTTCATTATATTGATCAAAATTATAAATTGAATCAATTGGTATTGGATTTTTTTGTTTTGTATCATAAATATTTGATTTAATATAACCACCAAGGACACTTAGAACTTTAACATTATAATTTCTTAATTCTAATTGTAATACAGATACATATTGATCTAAAGCAGCTTTTGATGATGTATATAAAGAATTTGAATGAACTGGGATATTCTTGGTAACAGAACCTGAAAATACAACAGTACCTTGAGATTTAACTAATAATTTAGTAAATTGTCTTGTAATTTTCATTGGACCAAATAAATTAATTTCATATAAATTTTCAATATCTTCATCAATTAAATCAACACAATGACTAATATGAACAATACCTGCATTATTATAAAGTAAATCTAATCTACCTTCTTTTGATTGAATTAAATCATGAATTTTTTTAATATCTTGAGAAGATCTAACATCTAAAGTTTCAGTTTCAATATTATTATTAGCAAATTCTTTTAAAATTTCTTCATTAAATTTATAATCTGTTGCATAAACTTTATAACCTCTTGAATTTAATTCTAAAGATAATGAATGTCCAATACCTGAATTAGTACCTGTAATTAGTGCAACTTTTTGTGACATGATGTGACTATAATAACCCTTGAGTAACGTCTAAATGTAGAATATATGGGGAATTTGACAAGTACTTATACTATAACGGTTGAAGATCAAAGTTTAGTGGATAACGGTTATCTTATATTAGCTGAAGCCTGAAAACCGACAAACAATTAAAAAAATGAAACTTTAACGCAATCGAAGATCTTTGCGTTTGTAATTAATTAAGCGTACAACCGTCAACAATTTAAAAGTTAAGCTCAGTTCAGCATAAGTTCACAGGAAACAAAGGCTCACGATTCTGGTACAAGTCAAAACGGTTATTTATTAGACAGATTCATACACATTCAAACACTTTTATTGGTTAATTTGAATGAAAATTTCAAGTATATTATGCTTATTGTCAAGTATTTCATGTATTTTACCGAGGTGTATCTGAGAATTCCAAAAATTTCCACCCAGAATTAGGCAGAATTAGGCAGCGTAGGTGGACTTATTATTAATCCCACCGGTGCACCACTGGGAACTTTCAAGATTCTTAGGCAGAACAAGGCAGCCTAAAACTGAATGTTGAAAGTGAAACCAAAGATCTTGAGATTTTATTGTTTAATGGTGAATATGAACTTGATTGACGAGATTGTTGAGCTTTGTTCTGACCATGGTGTGATGGATCGTGTAGTATATGTCTTAAACTCTGATAGTGTTATATGAAGAAAGAATCAAGAGAGTCAAGACGTGGTCGACTTACGGCCATTGTCGCTAAGGATCTTTTATCTTCTGGTGCCTTAGATTAATACATTACGTTCACCGTTCAAAGGTTGACGTGATTGAAATGTACCATAGAATTCTATATAAGAAAGTACGAACTTGACTATAATTTCTGGTATATGGTAAGGACTCAGGAGTCAGAACTAGAAGCCAGGACTCTTAAATGAATGTTAGTGATCACATAAATTTAATCGGTATGACGGTGAGTACTTAGTACTTATAGTACTTAAGCATGGAAGCTTTAATTCATGAGATATATATGAACGTCCGTGAAAAACTAGAGGCAGCTTATATATATTTTCTATCACAGATTCACATATCAGCTAATTACGCCATATTTCTTAAATCAACATTTTAACTCAACAGTGAACGTACTTTATGTTCTACACAGTTCTAGTCGTTCAAGTTCACTCATCAAGATTCAAATTCTTAAGATTCAAATATTGATGGATCTACTACATTTTTATGTGAGGTACTCTACATTAACATGGGTGTAGTACGTATAACGTTAGTAATATATAGACATCTAGTAACAGATCTACAACTTTTAGATCCCGAAACTTCCAATGAATCTTATATAAGTAATTATAAATTATAATATATATAGGTATTATATAAATTTTTGTACCTCAAATTCACAATTTCGACAGTATCGAGCACCTATTTATATAGGCCATATATAGATCTTGTTTATCATATATGGTAGCTCGATGGACGTAAGCTGTTTAAGCCTTTTTTAACTAGCTGTGCTATCATGAATTGCAGTTCAAATTATTCAATCGTCAGAACTTGATTAAAGCTGAAGACTGTTTCAGTTCAACATGAGCCAATAATCATGAATAAAAATAGATAATGAAACTACCAACTTGAAGAACAATCAAAGAGCTCTCTATATACCTTTGAACTTTGTATCTAAAAACATGTCGACGACCAGAGAATATGCACAAATCTGCAAATACAATTTGAAAAACCAACTAAAAGTTGTCCACAAGTTCAACCACAGCGAGTAAAGAATAGTAAAATATTCAAAACAAAGATGGGTATATAAGATTATAATCATAATCTAGCTAGGAATTTATATTATATTATTATGGCATTTTCAGAAGTCTTATAGAGTATCAATATCTAATTATCATAGATTTAATCCATAATTATTACTAATCACGCTAACAAATTTTCGTCAAATGTAATATTCGCTGGATCCTCCCTCCTCCTCCTGCCTGAAAACACCAGGTTTTTTTTTTGAGGGAATTGGAATTTGGATCCAAATCCCAAAGTAGAATTTCTTGTGGTAAGAACACTCTTTAAGCAGGAATATACAGGATATTACAAGAGGTACCGTTAGTTACTAGAACTTACTACGTAAACTTTGAGTATATATATGAGTTCCAGTCTATATATCTAGATCATATTCAAATTATACTAGCTTCAAACTCTTCTTTTGATTTATCAGCTTGCCATCTAAATTTATAAGCAGGATGGTCTTCACCTAAAAATGTTTTACCCTTTTCATTATTAACATTTTCTCTTAATGTAGTTGAAGCATAATCTTTATGGAAAATTCCTCTAGCTTGTAATTCTGGTATTAACAAGTCAACAATAGCTTCTAAATCATTAGGGAATGAAGTTGGCCAAAAATTAAATCCATCAACATCATATTCTTCAACCCATCTTTCTAATTCATCTGCAATTTCTAATGGATCTCCAATGATTTTACTATTACCTAATGTATAAATATCTAATAATTCTCTCTTTGTTGGTTTATTTTTTTTCAATTTCTTACTAATATTCTTTGTTAATGTAGTTAATCCATTTGATAATTTAGCAACATCAACTTCTTCATCATCTTCAAATTTACTAACATCAATCCCTGAGACTGCACTTAATCCAACTTCACCATATCCTGGTATACCAAATTTCTTAGCTCTTTCAACTTTTGCCAATGCTTCTTCATGAGTTTTACCAACAACTGGAAATACTCCTGCAACAAATTTAATAGATTTTGGATCTCTACCATATGATTCTGCTAATGCTCTAATGTCTTTAATATCAGCTTTAAGTGCTTCACCATGTCTACCATCAACAAATACCAATTCAGCATACTTAGCAGCTAATTGTTTCCCTTTAGTTGAAGTACCAGCTTGAATAATCAAAGGAAATCTTTGAGGAGTTGGTTCAGTAATACCAGGACCTTCAACACTAAAATATTTACCTTTATGATTGATCTTTCTAAGTAACTCGGGATCAGCAAAAATACCATTCTCTTTATCATATTTAACAGCATCATCTCTCCAAGAGGATAACAACAATTTCAGGACAACATCAACATATTCTCCAGTCTTAACATATCTTTCATCATGTTGTGGTAAAGGTTCACCATTCAGTAAATTTGGTCCCAAACTATCTAAATAACTTGAAACAATATTCCAACCAATTCGACCATTTGTTAATAAATCCAATGAAGCTAACCTTCTAGCGAAATGATATGGATGTTCGACAACTGTACTGAAAGTTATACCAAAACCTAATCCTTCCGTGGCTTGAGCCATTGCAGTAATAGGGATTGCAGGATCAACTCTTGGAGCAAATTTACCAACTTTTGCAGGTAATCCATAATTTCCTGGTCCTTTATAAGTATCAAAAAAACTTAAATGATCAGCAATGAATAAAGCATGGAGCTTCCCTCTTTCAGCTATCTTAGCTAATTTGATCCATGGATCTAAACTTCTTGTGAATTCTCTTGATGTATCATTTGGATCTGTCCATAATCCTGGTGAACCACCTGTGAAAACATTAATTATTAAAGATTTTGAAATTGTCATACTTGTATAACTTATTGCAAATTAATACGTTAGCCTAGACATGTTCCTAAACAGAATGGATATTTGTAGCTTTATATAGGATTCTCATGATCCACAAATTGATTCATAAAAAACTGTGTATTTGAAGATTCAAATTTAGTAATTTAAACGATAGCTTTTAATGTATATATTAGCCTTCGGATTATCTTCCCGTATAATCACCATCCCAGGAACCATCTCACAACCATCTCACAACCTTCCGAGAAGGTTCCCAAGAAGGTTCTTTCAGAAGGTTCGGAAGGTCCTTGAAAGAACAGTAAAATATCAAAACATAGATGGATGTTAATAAATGGTATCAATAAACGAAAAATAGTTTATTATTCATTATTAATGTATTCAAAAGTTTATTAGAGCTTTAATGTAATAGTTATTGAAGAATCAATTCATTATGATGACTAACCGCTCAGCCAAAGATTTGGTAAGCAGCAAAAAGTTCTTGTTATTCGGGCACTACAAGTTGAAGAGGTTCTTGTTATTGGGCCACGACTTTTCTCATAATGTGCCTTCTTTGAACCATCTTTGAAGACTTCACATAATTCACATAGCGAAGAAAGCTCGCAGATGACGAGTTAGAAGCTTGAACCATAGCTAAGATATCATAAATCGAATTGTTAATATGTATGATATATGTTAGTGCTTAATGAATGATCTTGACAACTCTCAAGATCCAATGCACATTAGTACGTTTAGAGAACCGCTTTAAAACAATCAGAAATACATCATGATTCATTTTTCATTTGATGAACTTACTACAAGCTTAATATATGAGGTGAGCTATAACAATTGAGATACATCGATTATATACTAGCTGTACGAATTTAGGCAGCCAGTTTAATCTAATTAGTACAATTAATATAATTATTAAGAATCTAAATATTATATAACTTATGCATGATTCGAATGATCTAAACGATTAGTTTGTACTTTTCATTGAAGCTTGAAGATAGATGAATAAATGTACCTCAAACTTCAATTTCCTTGAGCGTTTTTTCTACAATATGGCACATCTTGTCAAGCAGAATATAGTTCGGGTCTTCTCAATTAATAGTTACACGGGTTGTGACTTATACCTTATACCAAATTCATGATTTTCAAAAGCTCAATATGGTTGTGTTCCAGTGAATTTTAAAATGAATAGATCATATGAGTTTTCAGCTAAAACTATAAACCTATAGAGTGCGAGCATGAAAAGATGAAAAGAATATTTTAAAGCCTTTAATTTATACCTTTGAAGTTTGAACTTTGTATCTAAAAACATGTCGACGGCCAGAGGCCAGAGATATGCACAAATCTGCAGCTCAAATGGTAGTCCACATTTTGAAAACTTGAAAACCAACTAAAAGTTCGTCGACATGTTCAACAACACGAGTAGACAATAGTGAAATATCCAACACAAAGATGGTTATGCAAAAGTACATGCATCAAGTAGCTATGAATTTATATTATATTATTGTTTTATTTTTAAAATTCATCAATAGCTTCAATATCTCTTTATTGCTGCCTAAACTCATCATTATTACTAATCACACTAACAAATCTTTGTCAGACTGCCAAAAATGGTCAAAAATCACCAAAAATTGTGAAAACAGGGAGTTTTTTGAAATTGGTTTTGGATCCCAAAGCGGTAATTGTAGTGGTTCTACCACTATAGAAGCAGGAATTTGCAGGAATCACATACAATCGTTTGAATTACTCTATTTGATTGATGTTTAAAGTACACAGTTTTTATATAATGATCAACTTATCAACTCGTGGATATTCATGAGGCTCAGATATATATGATTATAAATATGCCATTCACTTTGGAACCATCACTCGCTCAACAACAGATCAGATATCTTAAACTTATATAACCATGACAATTTCAAAATCTTTAATACTTAATGTTTTCACAGTGGGATCCCCAGGATTATGGACAGATCCTAAAGATACATCAAGAGATTTCACAAGAAGCTTAGATCCATGGATCAAACTAGCTAAAATAGCTGAGCGTGGGAAATTTCATTCATTATTCATTGCTGATCATCTAAGCTTCTTTGATACTTATAAAGGTCCAGGAAATTATGGATTACCTGCAAAGGTTGGTAAGTTTTCTCCAAGAGTTGAGCCATCAGTTGTAATTGCTGCATTGGCACAAGCTACAAAAGGGTTAGGTTTTGGTATAACTTTCAGTACAGTTGTCGAACATCCTTATCATTTTGCAAGAAGGTTAGCCTCTCTGGATTTATTAACAAACGGTAGAGTTGGTTGGAATATTGTTTCAAGTTTTTTAGATAGTGTTGGACCAAACTTATTAAACGGTGAGCCATTCCCAGAACATGATGAAAGATATGTGAAGACTGAAGAATTTGTTGAAGTTGTCTTGAAATTGTTGTTATCATCATGGAGAGATGATGCTGTTAAATATGATAAGGAGCAAGGCATATTTGCAGATCCAAATTTACTTAGAAAAATTAATCATAAGGGGAAGTATTTCAGTGTTGAAGGACCTGGTATCACAGAACCAACTCCACAAAGGTTTCCTTTGATTATTCAAGCTGGTACTTCAGTTAAGGGTAAACAACTTGCAGCTAAATATGCTGAGTTAGTATTTGTTGATGGTAGATATGGTGAAGCCCTAAAGAATGATATCAAAGAGATTAGATCATTAGCAGAATCATATGGTAGAGATCCAAAATCTATTAAATTCGTTGCTGGAATAAATCCAATCGTTGGTAAAACTCATGAAGAAGCTTTAGCAAAAGTTGAAAGAAACAAAAAGTTTAGTTTGCCAGAATATGGTGAAGTTGGATTAAGTGCAATCTCAGGGATTGATTTTAGTAAATTTGAAGATGATGAAGAAGTTGATATTAGTAAATTATCAAATGGTTCAACTACAATGACAAGAAACATTAGTAAGAAATTGAAAAAGAATAAACCAACAAAAAGACAATTATTAGATGTTTATACCTTGGGTAATAGTAAATTTGTTGGAACTGCATCAGAAATTGCAGATGAATTTGAAAGATGGGTTGAAGAATATGATATTGATGGGTTTAATTTTTGGCCAAATTCTTTCCCAGATGATTTAAAATCGATTGTTGACTTGTTAATACCAGAATTACAAGCTAGAGGGATTTTCCATAAAGATTATACATCAACTACATTAAGAGAAAATGTAAACGAAACGAAGGGTAAAACCTTTCTAGGTAGAGATCATCCAGCCTATAAGCTCAGATGGCAAGCTGATAAAACAAAAGAGGAATTTGAAAGGAGTCTGTGATTATTATGTATAGAGACTATATATAACTTGTATAAATCAATAAGAAGTCTTTGTATCTTGCCACACGATAATACAATAGATACGGCTGTTCAGCTTAGATTTCAAGTCATCTAGTCAAAATAAGTACACTAATTATCTGAGTATATATAAGGTTATATATATCAATCATTCAACTGGATAAGCAAACAAGTAAAGATTAAAATAAGAAGGTTATCGCATTGCCTTCATGTAATACATAGTAAAATTGTATTAGTAGTTAGTTGTACGTGGAATTAATGGATATTCATGGTATTCGCGAATTACACCTTGTAGCAATAAACGAATCTTCATCGTATAGACAAGAATTACTTATTTGACATTTATTAACCGAATGTGACAAAATTTCTTATACGTGTATCGGAGTCTATCGATTGGATAGAATGTAGATTGAATTCTTTAAGATCAATTTGTGCATTCTTAGGAACGATATGATTGTATTCGTTAGATATAGGAGATATACGTTTGATCCATATACGATGTCAGAAGCGCTGGAGATAGAATCAGACAATCGACGCGTACTTTAACGAAAACACTGAAACAGTAAGCTTCAAAGATTATAAACATTTGAATAGCATTGATCAATTGCTTATAATGAATAACACTTTAATCAATGAATCATCAACCAAATATTCACATGTTCTTTTATTAATCAAACACAGTAAAAGCTCTTAAAGTTTAAATTACGTTACATCGTTTGGAAATTAACGAGCAATGAAACCTCAATTAAGTAGTATTTCCTAAAAGAGTAGTTTAATTGAGTATGTGTACGTAATCTCTGAGGTAAGCGATGGGCATGGTAAACCGTAGGAACCACACTCATCTCGTTTAACGTATAACAGATAGATAGCTCGTTTAACTTGCTAGGTTGTATAACAAGCGGTGATATAATTAATACTCTATTGATAAATGTGTTATATAGTCAATTGAGTATTGATAATCTCATATATCTCATAAAAGACATACCTTTTTTACCAAAATACTCGTGAAATTCCCAGATCTCAACCTCGTCTAGCCTCGTTTAGCTCATCTGTCTCGTTTAGCCTTTGTCTGTCCCTACCGATTCCCAACAGAGCACGAAAGTTTAAATTTAAATTTTCAAAAAAAAAAAAAAAAAAAAACTATCGTTTGGTGATTTTTCGATTTGGGAATTTTTGAAATGTGTGTGTTGATTTTTTAATTGTTTGATATTTAAATATTAAATAAACCAAAGCCCACTTCCATTCTTTTTTGCCATCAACCTATTATAAATACTGAGAAAGGTTACTCTTCTTATACAAATCATACCTCATTAGCCCCCATTAGAAGATCAAAACAGTTGCCATCATTTCAACATGAGGTTAGTATCGTTCCACTTTGTTTTTTCTCGTTCCTCACATGTGTTTTGTTAAAAACTCCCGCTATGATAAGATTCAACATTGAGAGATGAACAGAAATCGAAACAACGAAAATGAAAAGAATCTCAATACTGACATCTTTTAGTAACGTTTTATCAAATTCTCCAATTGATATTATACCAAATTCAACATTTTCACAAAATTATCAAATTTTAAGTTCTTTAGATAGTTCATCAGTTCAATTAAATTTCCTTGAAAAATTATGGGCTTCATATTATTTATATATGAATAATGATATCTTTGCTACAGGTTTATTATTCTTTACATTACATGAATTAATGTATTTTGGTCGTTGTTTACCATGGTATATTATTGATTGTATTCCATATTTCCAAAAATATAAAATTCAACCATCAAAAATTCCTTCAAATAAAGAACAATGGGAATGTTTAAAGTCTGTTTTAATTTCTCATTTCTTAGTTGAAGCTTTCCCAATTTGGTTTTTCCATCCAGTCTGTAATTTAATTGGTATAAGTTATCAAGTTCCTTTCCCATCATGGAGTTCAATTGCTTTAGAAATTTTTATTTTCTTCTCTTTAGAAGATTTATGGCATTATGTTTTCCATAGAGCTTTACATTATGGTGTTTTTTATAAATATATTCATAAACAACATCATCGTTATGCTGCTCCTTTTGGTTTAGCTGCTGAATATGCTCATCCAATTGAAGTTGCTTTATTAGGTTTAGGTACTGTTGGTATTCCAATGGTTTGGGCTTGGTTTTCACAAAGTTTACATTTATTTACTGTTTGTATTTGGATTACTTTAAGATTATTCCAAGCTGTTGATGCTCATTCTGGTTATGAATTTCCATGGTCTTTACATCATTTCTTACCTTTCTGGGCTGGTGCTGATCATCATGATTTACATCATCATTATTTTATTGGTAATTATGCTTCAAGTTTTAGATGGTGGGATTTCACTTTAGATACTGAAGCTGGTCCTGAAGCTAAAGTTGAAAGAGAAGAAAGAATGAGATTAAAAGCTGAAGCTAAAAAATTAAAATAATCAATATTCAATATTAGTCACCTTATCAATTATCATATACCAGACATTATGAAATTATAAAAAAAAAAGAAAAAAATAATGAAAAAAAAATCGCTAATGAGTTATCAATTTTGTTTTTCTTTCTTGTCATACTTTGTAAAATATATATATATCCATTTATAATTCGGTTTTCATGAGTTTTTTTTTTTTAAATCTTCATTTCCTTAATCATCATACATTTTATAAAGCATATAATAAAGAAGAAATTAAAAAATTAATATATTAAAAGATATTATCTGTAGACAATCTAAAATTAAACAATAAATATAAAAAAACCACTAATTATTAAGGTATATAAAACAATCAACACCACCAATTATAAATTCTATAATATAAAGGTTTTGAAGCTAAAATTTCAGCATCTAATTTTTTTTGTGCTTTTAATTCTTCAATATCTGGATATCTTTTACCAGTATCTAAATCAATTTCATTTAATGGTATATAAGGTTTTTTGAAAAATCTTTTTGAAATTAATCTATAACCTAACCAAATAACAATCATTAAAGGTATACTTAAACAATTTTGGAAAAAAGTTAAAACATCAGGACCTGAACCAATTGGATAAACAGAAATCCAAATTTCACCAATAATAATTAAAATTAAAATAATCGCACCAATAATTGAACCATAAATACCTAATACAGCTTTAAAACCTAATTCTTCTGTAGAGCGACCTTGTTTCTTTAAAGCTAATCTAAATCTAATATGACTTAAACAGATTGAAAACCATGTGAAAAATGCACTAATGGAACATAATGAAAATAACCAAGTGAAAACTGTAGATTGATTATCTGAAGCAACAACAAAACATAATAAACCAAATATAGAACTTGTTATAATCCCAACTAATGGACGACCTTCATTATCAATATATGCAAAAATTGAAGGTAATTGACCCGAGGCACCTAAAGATTGAATAACTCTTGATGATGCATAAACACATGAATTTGCCACTGATAAAACTGCAACTAAGATAACTGCATTCATAAAATGACTAACTTTAACACCAAATTGTCCTGTGTTACTTAATGCAATAACAAATGGAGATGCACTAATATCTTCACTTGATGAACCACCTAATAATCTTTCATCAGTTCTTGGAACTAAACAACTAATAACAACAATTGTGGTAATATAAAATAATGCAATTCTCCAAAAAACTTGCTTTGTAGCTTTGGTAATGTGTGAAGCATTTTTACTTTCTGCTGATGCTAAAACTGCTAATTCAGAACCACCATAACTAAAACCTGCACTAATAAAAGTTGAACAAATTGATTTGAAAACTGGTGAGGCAAAAGCACCAGGATCATGCCAATATTTAGCACCAATATAACCTTGAGAATGTGGACCACCACCTGCAATTAATACAATACCAATGATGATAAAAATTACAATTGCAATGATTTTAATTATTGATAATAAAAATTCAGATTCACCATAAGCTCTAACACCAAATAAATTTAATGTTACAACGAAAACCCAAAATATAGCAACCCAAGCCACTGGATCAATTTGATCATTCCAATATCTAATAGTCATTGAACATCCAATTAATTCACTTGGAAATGAAATTAACCAACTTAACCCATAATTTGATGCAATAGTAAAACCTAAAGCTGGATCAACAAATCTTGAAACATGAGAAGCAAATGAACCACTTACCGGGTAGGCAACACTTAATTCAGCTGCAGCTTGAATAACACAATAAATTGCAAAACCAACAAGACCAAATCCAATTAAAGTTGCACCTGGTCCTTGGGAAATTGAATAACCTAAACCAATAAATAAACCAGTACCTAAAGTACCACCATATGCGATCCATTTAATATGTCTTTTTTTCAAAGATTTTCTTAATGGTTGATTTGCTAATATATAATTTGTACGTTGGTTTGGATCTAGGGTTGATAAATAATCTTCATCATATTGAACTTGTTTTCTTTTAAATGAATATGATAATTTATTTAAAGTACCTGATGGAGCTTCATTATCTAATGATTCTATAGATTGAGTTGAAACTGGGTTTAAACCCTTTTCTAAAGAGTCAGACATGTTGTTATAAATTGAGATGGATAATTCAATAACAATGTATCAATTAATAGTATATTCTTGTGTCTTTGATGTGTACAGTAGCTAATATACCAAGGATATGATGATTATATAAGGACCTTTAATACCTCTATAGATATTCTTCTAATTCAATAGACCCAACAATTGAATATACCTATATATATAAACCAAATGAGAAATGAAGGTATATAATCCAACAATTATATATATTCTGTTGAAACCACTCAACTTTTCACTCAGCTGAGTCCTTTTTAATCATGTTTATATAAATTTTTGCACTCTTCAAAAAATGCGATATCTGCCAAAACAAAAAAAGAAATATTTTTTTTTTGCTGCCAAAAATTTGGAAACCGTTTGGAAATTGAAAGCCGTTTAAAAATAAGCAGACTTAAAAGAAAATTTAAACAGACTCACAAAGGGAATTTAAACAGAGATGTAATAAGTCTTTGTAGAATTTTCTGTGTAGCCAATTGTTAGAGTATGTTATTCTTTGCTCTATGTTCTCCCTATTGTTAGATATGTTCCTGTTCATCAGCCCATAGTGGGAATTAATTGAATTGTCTCAGTTGACAGCTGGAGTGGGCTCAAAGTTCAAACTCGTAAAGACTGTGACTGTGGCTGGCATTGTGAGTATTCATGTGAGCACTGTGTTAATGGTGATGAGGAAGGTTGTAGTTGAAGAAGTATACAATAACATGGGAATCTCTGCCTTATATATAATCAGAATCCCCGTACAAGCACGGTATTAGAGTCATACTACTTATCACTTTATCACTTGTCACACGATCGACAGCCGTTGGTGTACACGTAAATTCACGACGTTGTGCTGGTAAACCATAAAACACATTCGCGGGTGCTGAACAGACTCTATCGGAAAACAAATTTTTCAGCTTGTCAACTTACAAGTTTATATTTATAATCCTAGTGAAGTATAAAAGGTAATTGTCTGGTATTGGCATATTCACGGTATCCATTACTATGTTTTGAAATAAGGAGATTGTATAGGGATGTTAGGAATAGATTTAACATGAGACCATCAGCTCTCCTGTTACGTGTTAATAATCTTATATATCTAATTCATCTAGTACACTTAATAATTAGGTTGATTGGTTAACAAGAGTTATATGAATATATAGTATATACATATATCCAAAGATCAACTTTATTCAATCGTAATGGATTTGATGAGTTATTCTTGAAATATATATACCCTATTTTTTGGTGAATGACTCGTAGTTTTTGTTATAGTACTTAGCGCTGAGTTCTGATAACTTAAAGACAACCGAATAACATGGTTCATGATATATATATTCCTAAGAGTTCAAAGATCGAGAGAAATATATATAATTCTTTCAAGTGCTGGTATTCTTTCAAGTGCTGGTGGGTTATATTTATGAATTTGTCTTTGCTTATATAATAATAAATCACTACACTCCCTTACGCGTCGACATATGTTTGATCCAGACAACAAATAACCGACGCGAGTAACTCGAGATCATTAAAAATTTTCTTGAATCTTTTTATCTTTAATTTTATATTTGGACATGATGAGAAACAACTACTATTTTGGTTTAGTTGTAATGATACGTCCTAGGTCCTTTAATCTTTTTAATATTGGGCAGTAACTTGCAGTTTTTTGGTTTTTCCTAGTCCACTTTTGTTAAATATTTGTTGTCTGAAGACGTTAAATATTTGTTGTCTGAAGACTCCCTTTGAAGAATCCTTCAAGATGATATTTTAGTTTTTTTAGTAATATAGAGTACTCCAGAGGTATTCATGATATATTTGTTAATTAATCAATACAGAATTTTAAAATATTCATTTGATCGCATATAACATTATGTGTTGAGATTTGAAGATTCAAGAAGTTCTTGTATGGTTAATTTATCACAAATTAAAGATCACTATAATCTACAATTGAAATTCATATGTTACAATAATTTCCATTCAAGTTGATTCCAAAGATTTGATGAATTTTTGATTAATATATGATTCAATTTTTTCAATCAAGATCATATTGAACTTGTAAATCATATCAATCATAAATTACGCGTACAATTTCAGCCCACGTATATCCAGATGTTATCATCATGCATTTTAATTCAACAGCCCTAAATTTAAGTAATTACTAACTCTCTCCAAGTGGGATCTTTATTCTTGATTATAATCAAATCAATCTTCTTGTAATATTAATTAGTAGAACTGCAATTGAATCAAAATAAACGTGCACTAATCAATATTTTATAAAAGTAATTTTTAATAGTTCAGTTATTTTTACACTCCCTATTTTTAATTACTAAATAAACAATTATCAATCAGCTTTACTTTCTTTGATATTTAGTTGAATTATGATCATGGTGTTCAAATTTGTCAGTACTCCTACATTGTTATTGAACTCCTTCTTTGACATATGTCAGCGCTTGTTTGATCTAATTGGGACGTTCCACTACTGCTTTGTACTTTGTACAAGGTTATAAGTGGAATATATTCCCACCAACTTATTATTAATGTCACTTTCGTCATTTGATTGATCTATACTGAATTATTGGAGATCAAAAGGCCATATGCATTCAAATTAATTTTATAGAAGCAATTCATGGTTGAATAGAGGACATACGTATACTATAACTTCATCATTCAACTTTCATTCAAATTGAAACAAATTTGATGAGTTTATGATTTGAATAAAAATAATATTTTTCTACTTCAAGAGATATAAAATGTAGATAATTATATGAATCACATACACTAAATTAGTAGTAATTAGTTGTCGATATAATCACTACTTATCAACCTTTGTTCTATAAGCTGATTAGTACGTCATAGTTTTGAAATTTCGCGATAAGTTTTTCATTATAAAAAAAAATCATCAAACAATTATGAATTGATATGTGTATGAACTGTTAAGTCCAGTGTATTTTTTTTCTTCATGCTTAGATGAAGTGAGTTGATGAAAGACTTTTGAACGTTGTACATTCACCAAATTCATTCATATCGAACTTTTTACGTACTTGGCTTGGTCTTATTATGTTTCGAAGATTTGTTAAACAAGTGAGTTATCGTATTATGGAATTTATTCAACTAGGAAAACTAGATACCATAAAGATGGATGTTGTATGGTTCGATTTTTAGGGAGAGATCAAGTCTATGATTAAAAATATCTAGCTGATTTTATTAATATATCTGCTGTCGAGGACCCAAGAATTTCCTAAGAGGTGATTTTATTTGTTATTCTCTGATATACTAACAATTTTTTCATAGCTTTTTTGCGCGTTTATTATGTGAACATTTTATGTGGACTATTCTTTAATGTTTTATTGTTAATGTGTCTCATTCTCTCGTGAAATGTAGCTACGATTTTGGAAAATGTGATTGATAAATGATTATAGATTCAATATAATAATCATTGATACATTGATGAAAAATGAATTGAACAAATTGATTTATGAATCAAATACATCACTATATATATGAAACATTTCTCCATTCAATCGTAATGGATTTGATGAGTCTTGTTATTCAATATATACAAACTATTTTTTGATGAAAAATATGTAGCTACCTACTTACAAGTTGTGTCCTCGTTTTATTATATCATGTGCTATGAAAGATATCTTAATTAAGGAAATTATAGTACCTGATACCTAGTATTAATTGAGAGTTTGGATATCGGTAAATGCGTCTCTGAATCAGCTTATCAGTATAACTTGTAGAATTTAACTTCTTTTATGAATTTGTAATAATTTGATCTTTGAACTTGTTATACATAAGCTAGATACCATAGAATAATTTGATCCAGACAGCACATGAATTGTAATTTTTTTTTAATTAAATTTTCCCAATGATTCTTCTTTCGACTCCTCGATATTCAGTTTAATTGATTACAAAAATTTTATTGTTGCCGGCCTGTTTGTGATATTTTCTTATTTTTCTTGCTTTTACATTTAAACAAGTTTACTTTGAAAATCGACTTAAACGATTTTTGAACATGTTGTTTTGGCATTTCCTCGTTCTGATATAGATGTTTTTGATATTCCATCTTAAAGCATCTGACGTGGTTACGTTATTTTATATTGTTTGTTCTATCCAGATATTCAATATCAAGTCCTTTGTCGAAAAGAATCAAACTTATTGGTAGATCAAGTCATATATTCAGTTTAAGTATACCATAGAAGTAATTCATGATTGTATCAAGATCAATAACATAAAATATAATTACTTCATCATTAACTTTCATTCAAATTGAGATAAATTTGATGAGTTTTTGATTTGAATATATGTCAATTTCCATTTTTAGAGTTATAGTATAAATGTAGATACGTACAAAAAGTCAACTCTCAATGCATCTTTGAATATATTGTTATCGATATAATCACTACCTATTACCAGCTGTTTTGTTTAAATATTATTGAAATTTCGCGACAAGGATTTACTCGACATACCAAAAATTGAACCTGTTAAAAAATCAAACTTGTGATTACAAGAAATTGATCATCTGAATCTATCAAGTTCTGAACTCTGATTTGTTTTCACCAATTAGATCTATTATATTTTTTACCCTATTTGTTTTGATGTTGTATGTTGTATGATATAGCTATTATATCGTATGACAAGTTGATTGACGTAAGTTTTTTTGTTATAGAATATATTCAATTAGGATAATTAGATCATATAAAGATATGAATGGTACATGAGTCAATTAGCTTAGCATTGAGTTAAGCTACTAGGCATTGAATACATTATTTAACCAATTACATTGCTGAATCTAAAATTCCTAATTGAAATTTTATTTAATTTAAATTATTCAATGTAATATTAACGATTTATGAATTAGATTGTGATAGTATTAGTCAAATCATAATTCATGATGAAGATGACGTAACAGAAAGTGAATAGTGATTGATAATTGAATGGATGCATTTTGCACAGGTGAATGACATGTGCAATCTTGGGCTCTTGTGCTTGAAATATAACGTTTTTAGTTGAGGATATAATTTTACCACGAGTTCATAAGCAAATTTCTGTTCCAATTATATTAAACATTAAAACAATGGCTGCGGCATTAGAAGCTTCAGTTCAATTCAATTTAATCATCAATGTTTAATTTTCTGAATTAATTACAAGTTGGTATATGAATTGATTGAAATACTATATATATATATGAAACATTTCTTTATTCAATCGTAATGGATTTGATGAGTCTTGTTATTCAATATATATGCAACCTATTTTTTCACAATAGATCTATAATATTCATGTAGAAAAATTCAACAACATAATCATAAGCAATGAAAGACTAAGTAGTAAGTAGTAAGCTGGTCTAAGGTCTGAATCCATTACCAACTACACTTTCAAATCATTAAAGATCTTCATACATATTTCATGGACCGTAATTAGAGCTGTATATCTCTTGACTCTTGACTCCTATGTATAATTAGTAGGTATTAAACTTTGTATCATGACAGTTTAATTATATTAATATGAATCCTAATTGATTAAAAATTCAAATTATCCGATCTATTACTGGTTATAAAATTTCTTTATAATCATGTATGTATATAGTACATATGTCATATGTCACATCCTACATAAATGATAACCGTTAGAATCTAGATAGAAATCCACCAGTAGAATGAGGTACTCAAAAGATGTTCGAGAACGTTTATATGCTTGTATAGTTGATCCTATATGTATTACCTAGAAGCTAGATGTATGTTTGTTGTATATCCATGAGAATTATAGATGATGGATTACTTGATCATATATAGAATTGTTCTTATAGGTTGATTGATTATCCAAACTCCGCTTAAACAGAGAAAGTTTTAGGCGGAAGGAGATCAGGTACGCGTAATGGTAAAATATTTAGAGGGATAGGCAGAGACAATCAAGCCCAACAGACTAGAATCCTACTCTTTAAAATTAGTACAGATCCTTATTCTACTTCATTTCCGTTAAAAGACGTGTTGATAGTAAGTGACGACACCTTGTGAGTTGTAGTCATTGGGGATAGAATTACTTGGTATTCACCTATAATTTGTGGTGCTGTGATATATCGGTGACCTTGGAGTCCTTGTATAGATCTGGTCAACTATGGTGAAGTAAACCCGGGGTGTGACTGTGACTGTGAACATTGAAGTGTTTGATTACTACTTGATATTGTTGATCAATATTGTTGATCCATTAATTTCCAATTTGATTCAAATATCCGTGTATTAAGAGATTAAGAGTCTATCGGTGGTACAAGAATATATCGGTCGATACAAGATCTGGGCCTAAAGTTAAGACTATCTAAATTTAAACTCTTTATAAGCTTAATAGCAATTATTATTTATAGCCACCAACAACTATACTTTACTATCACTTACTAGTGTTAGCTGTTATTGTTTGTGACGTATTCTTACTTTATTGTTCATATTTGCTCTTCGTCGCCCGCACAATTTCAATTTGTGAACTGAAAAAAGAGTAACTGATGGCTGATGGAGTCAATGGGAATTAGTCCAAAAGAAGCAATCGACGGGTCTTGGAACTATATTGTTTACTAAACCAACAAAGTTCTAAGCCTATGGTGATTACTGATATATAAATGATGGATACCCCCATTATATTGAGCGGGTGCTCATGGTTATGTTATTCAAGTGGTTTGAGTTACTCAAAGGATTCTTCAAAGGATATTAGCTGCTAACATAATGAACCCACCAGATTATACAACACCGGTTGATGAACTTCCCACATATAAACCAACTTTACTCTATTATGATATTGTGCTATTGAAAAGAGAATTAAATTCACCTTTTGATATTTCCAAGAATAGAAAATGGGATATAGCTATAGTGGAAATTAATTCAACTCAATTAAATTTATACAAGATTAAGAATCTAAACAATATAAATCAATATCTTTGGAAATTATTAGATTATAATAATGATTGTATGGATTCAATTGATGAAAAAAGATCTTTACAACAAAAAATTATTAAAACAGATTCAAATTTTACAAATAAATCATTAATGGAATGTTTACTACTAGGGAATTCCAAATCAATACCATTAGATATCATCGAACCATATATTGGAACAAGATTAAATTCATATACTTTACAAAGTTGTAAAATTGGTTCTGCAACTGATTATACCAAGAAAAACTATACTTTAAGATTAAGAATTGAAATTCATCAAATTTTATTATCATTTATTAATATAACAAAATTTAATAAATTTTTCAATAATATTTTGGTTGCAATTGATTTATCAAAACCTTTAGAATTAAGATCTGAACCAAAAGAAAAAACTGTTCCTAATGAAATGTCAAGATTTAGAATTGAAAATTTTCAAAATTATTATCAAAAAAATTGTATTAATTCAAATTCAATATCAAATTATAGAAGAAATACAATTAATTATACTTCAATAATAAATAGGGAAGAATTAATAATTGAATCTCAAAAAAACAAACAAAGATCAAATTCTTTAAATGATCTAACTCATTCTTCAATATCATCAAATTCAATAGATTCTTTAGTTTTATTATCTGATTCAGAATCTTTAGATTCATCTGGTTCATCTGGTTCATCAGATCCCAAAATCTCATTTAATAACATCAAAAATGAATTCATTGATGAAAATTTAATCTATTCATTAACTTGTATGAATTCATTAGAAGCAAAGAATGATTGGAAAGGAATAATAATAATATCAGGTAATCATAAATCCCAAAAATTATCAAAATTTCAAAATAATGAAAAAGATTCTGAATACAAGAATAAATTATTTATAAATAATAATTCATTAGAAAAATTTCATAAAATTATTTCAAATGATTCAATTAATTCATGTAAAGAATTTGTTTTAATGGATGTTGGTTTAGTTGAAGGTTAATTAACTTTGTAATATAAGGATAATAGGAGTTATGATTTTTTGCTTTACAATTGCATACATATTTATTAGCATCATATATAGCATAATGTATTTATTTATTAACTATTTAGAATATAATATGTAATTAACCGCCCAATTAACCACCCAATATAATGTCTACCTAGTTATAAGTTATATGCGCGAAATATTTCTTGTATTGTTGAGAGTTTAAAGTCAAGTTCAGTATACTTCTAACAACAATTATTTACCTTCCATGGCTATTGATATGAAAATTTCACCAGAACATTACTATGACTGATAATACACCATTACTCATCACAAAAGATCAATTCATCCAACATTTCAAAGATACTTTTGGATCAAAAGAAATTGATTTCCCAAATGAACAATTTCAAACATGGAGAGATTTTTTCAATCCTGAAATAAAGAATAATATAACTGAAAATGATTTAATTGAAGCCGTAATACTTTCATCTGATTTACATGATATTTTATCACGAATTGATGGTGTTGCTTCCATGGAGTTTTATTTAAAATTACCAAATCAATAAACTACACTGATTTAACAATGATGGAATTATCTTTAGATGAATTATCTTTAGATGAATCTTATGCCCATCATTTTGAGAATTCAGAGAATGATGATAATTATATAGCTAAAAATTCTTCATTTGATGGTGAATACTCAAGTATTGATTTTCAAAGATGGTTAAGAATAGTGAAACGTCGCATATTATTTAAAATAGATGATCCCAAGGATATGGGAAAGGATATGAATCAAGGATTAAATCATTATAGAAAACTACCAATCAATAACGATATCTCATATGATTATCATACAAGTTATAAGACTGAAGTTATAAAGGTTTTAAAGTCAGTCTTAATACCTTGTATTGAAAAATTTAATGTTTTATTCAATGGTAAACTTGAGATATATGAACAATTGCCCATTAAAACTGATGAGTTCTTTGAATATTATCCTTTAGGAAATAATAAATTACGTTCAAGTAGTTTATCAAATGAGACTCAAACTTTAGATATTCTCATTGGTAGTTGTAAAGATGCTGCTGACAGATGGAACATTGAAATTAAATCATCAAAAGATATCAATATCTTACTTGAATTACTTAAAGGTAATCTCTCAAAAGACACTATAGATTTTACAAGGGCAAATTCACTTTTATGTGAATTTTTAATTCTTCAAATTCAACTAGGTGTGGGTGATATATTAGTTACAGATGGTTCCCAATTCTTATACATTGAATTATACTATGTAAGCAAAACATTGAATGAAATTAGTTTCAATTATTATGAATTCAAAAACAACACAACAAGTCCAATTACCCTTAAAGAATTTTTCTTCTCTTGGTTTTACAAGAGAATCAGTGTAAACTTTAATCATAAAGTGAAGTTATCTAAGCTTATAAACATACATCTGAAAAAGGCTGATGATGTAAGTAGTACAACAATACCAGATGCTAAACCCAATGGAAGATTTAAATTTGGTTTCAATGATGTTATACAACCAGTTGACCACACCATTCAAAAGCCAATTGATACCAATTCAGATTTCAAATTGATTAGTATTGACAAATTTAATAAAGAAGCTGAATATCTTCTTGTTTATGATTTTTTCTATAATGATAAAAGAAGAAAAGATTTGAATTTAAAGAATTTAAAAGATTTGGGTAAGATTGAAGAAAGTAGATGGTGTCAGATAATAACTGTTGAATCAAAAGATTATTCCAATTTTTTTGAAAATCATGGTTCTGAAGATCCAACACATGATCATATTTTCAAAATAATTGAACCAAGATATTATTATGGTGCAATTAATAAATATTGGACACCATTAACGAGAAGCTT